TGTGTGTGTGTGCGTGCGTGCGTGCGTGCGTGCGTGCGTGCGTGCGCGCGCGCGCGCGCGCGCGCAGTATAGATGGACTACAATCCCCATGATTCACTGGGCTCCGCCTAAGCAAGAACATTCAAAGCCAACATCAATGGGTGTCTGCGAGCAATTTCAAAACTAGGAAACTCAATTTCCAAGTTGCCTTTGAACACCCTTAGGGGAAATAATTCCTTAGGGCTACCCAGAGAGGAGAATATAAAACGTTTTTGGGATTATTGGGATGGTGAAGTCCAAGGCGGGAGCGGCCAAAGGCTGTGAAGCATCTTGGGAGTTGTAGTTCCAGTATTGTTAAACCCGAGACTCCAGACTCTAAGCAAACCTGTGTTACTCTCGCCTTTGGTCCTCTCCAGGCCTCCTGTAGTCTGTGGAAGAGGGATCTGCCTCATCTGCGATCCATCTGGCTGTCACATCAGTGCTCGCGCCTCCTCTACTCCTTCACCGGACAGACCCCATGCATTTTTGTCGCTTAGCAATGCTCTATGAGCCCCGCCTCTCTTTAGGAGTGTTCGTTTAGGAAGAGGGCGGCCTCCCAGACGACCAATGATAGAGAGGAAAATAAAAGTTACTGGAAAGTGGCCAACAGGAGATGTCTCATGATTGGGTCCAAGGCTGACCTGCCTGAGAGCGCATGTTTGATTGGAGAATCTGTAGCATGCAGCAGTAATTGGCAAGACCATAAACCAATGGAAAGGATTTGAAACTGAGTTTGAGGTTGGCGGTGATATAAAATCTCATTTTCCTTCAGTCTGGCATGCTAACTTCCTTCCTGTGGCTCCTTGATCTTTGTCCTGGCTCCAGTCTAAATATTGTTTTACTCGTTGCAGGAGAAATCGAGGAATAGGTCTCCTCTAACTGTCATCTCTCCATCGGTTGGGCCAGTCAGCCAGTCTTTTTATTCTTGTTTCAGGAGCCGGTCAGAATACAGGCAGCTGGTCGCACCGCTTGCCAGGGCCGGGCTCCTGGCCCAGGTAGTGGGATCAAAATGAGCTATTTTGGGACCGGCGCGCGGCTCCTGGGGGGGCAGCATGGAGCGTTCGTGCTCACGCCCCCTAGACGCGGAGCATCCGAGGCTGAGTCAGAGGCACAGAATTAGGCCGGTTGAAGTTGGGGGTAGAGTCTGTTCTGTGTCCTTCTGACAGCCTGGTCTGGCCACTGCATTCTCCAGGAATCTGCTCCTAAGACTTCATCTGCGTCATCCTCCGAACAGCCAGTGGGGAGGAAGTAGATTAAGGGAACCGGGGACTCTTTGGTGGACTCTCGGGTCCTGGGCCCCAGTTGGCACTTGTGTCCCCTATACCCGCAGGGTTCCGCCTCCTTAGCCTTAGTTTCCCCTTCAGGAAATTGAAGAGCCTTAGTAACATTTCAGTGGCGTCTTTTTCCAGATACCCTGCAGGCGCTTAATAAATGGCCAAGTCATTATTGGGGTTTCTAAATAAGGCTCTACTAATGGCCGAGCCTGGCTGCCGTCCCAATGTCCCCGGGAGGCCCGCCGAGAGGCCGGCACAGGGCGCACTATAAATCGGCGGCCGCGCACGCAGGGGCAGTGCGGGTCCCAGGACGGCGGTTAAGAAGCAGGATGGAGATTCCGGTACCTGTGCAGCCGTCTTGGCTGCGCCGCACTTCGGCCCCGTTGCCGGGACTGTCCGCGCCCGGACGCCTCTTTGACCAGCGCTTCGGCGAGGGACTGCTTGAGGCCGAGCTGGCTACGCTCTGCCCTGCTGCGCTCGCCCCCTACTACCTGCGCGCCCCCAGCGTGGCGCTGCCCACCTCCCAGGTGCCAGGCTTCGGGGAGGGGAAACTTGGCCACTTGTGGGCTGCAGAAATGACCTTTGATTTTAGCGTAGTGGAGAATGTGCGGCCACTCAGATGGGCTTCCCGAATATGAAACGTGAGGCCGGGGTACTGAAGCGAGTGAGAGGTCCCTGTCGCTCTGAGGGGAAGGGAAGGGCTGGGCCCCTCAGGGAATTGTTGATGGTTCTGAAGGAGGGTGGTGACCCATGTGATCTGGGAGTGACTCCTGAGGCACTGAAACGTTATTAACCTTGGGGAAGGGACCTTAGAGATAGTGGTGACTCTAGGTTCGCTGGGTAGGTAAAGGGCAGGAAATGTCTTGTGACTTAATGAAGGGAGTCCTGGGCACTCTGCATTGGGGCAAGGGGACCGGTAACTGTTGAGAGCACATTAGGATCTGAGTGGGAGGGTAAAAGAGAATTCTGGAGTCTAGAACAAGAGGCATCAGCGATTTCTGGCAGGGGTGAGGGATAAGGGCCCCTGAGGAGTGAATGGTGACTCCGGAGTGTTTGACAATGAGGGTGAGGACAAGCCTGCTCACCCTATGAAGGAGGAGGCCCCTGACCTTGGCAGGGTAGGAAGCCTCATCACTCTACATGAAAGGGAATCCCTTGAGTCAGTGGGAGTGAGAATCCCAGCTATTGAGGGCTCGGTGACTCAGGAAGAGGACACTGCGGGCCAGTAGGCCGTAGTACCAGTACCGACGGGGGTGAGACCCAGCGGGATGACAGCCCCCCCCCCATGCCTGCTGTGCCCAGGTGTCCACCGACCCGGGCCACTTCTCGGTGCTGTTGGACGTGAAGCACTTCGCGCCAGAGGAAATAGCGGTCAAGGTGGTTGGCGAGCACGTGGAGGTGCATGCGCGACACGAGGAGCGCCCGGTGAGCCGCAGGCAGAGGAGGGCGGGGCGCGGGGCGAGGCCAGGGCAGCCAGCTCAACCCTCTCCTCCGCAGGACGAGCACGGATTCATCGCTCGTGAATTCCACCGCCGCTACCGTTTGCCACCCGGCGTGGACCCTGCTGCCGTGACCTCAGCACTGTCCCCCGAGGGCGTCCTGTCCATCCAGGCCACACCAGCGCCGGCCCAGGCCCCACTGCCATCACTGGCTGCTGCCAAGTAGGGGTCCAGGCGCACTTGAATCTAGGGAGCTACTTCAGGCTCTCACTTTTAAAGCCGATCTGACTCCTCCCAGCCAGATGTCCCCACCATGCCAAGACAGTCCCTCCCATCCAAATGAAGATCCCACCTGATCCCTCCACCCTAGCTAGACCCAGCCTTTGATAACCTAGAGCCTCTACTGATATCCCACTCCTTAGGCCCTTTCCCATATCTTGCTACAAGCACTACCCTCACCTCAGCCTAGTCTCCCATCTTGTTTATATCCCTACTCAGAACTTCCTTTTGCATGTCCTTGACTCCTATGAAACATCCCCACACTCCACTTCCATCCCTTCCCAGCTCTCACACCAGATTATGGTGTAGACAGCCCTGTCCTCATGCCAGGTGAGTTAGGCATAAAGCCCACTGTCACCTCCAAATTACCCACACTGTGCAGTTCTCCCACTCCAGATTGTCCAGGCCTCCTGGTGAACTAGGATTCTTTTTCCTTTTTTGGTACTGGGGATTGAACTCAGGACCTTGTGCTTTCGAGGCAGGCGGTAGCACCACTGAGCTAAATCCTCAGCCCCCAAGATTCTTGATCTTTTCCCTGAAATCATACACTCCACTGCCCTCAGCCCATTTCCTGACTTGAAACCCCAACCAGCCACCCAGATTTTTAAACCCTATTCTGATGCCCAATTCCTGCTATACCTACTTGAGGCCAACTGGGACCCTCAACCTCAAACTGTACGGACACCCTTTCCAACTTCCCACATTTTGCTAGGCCCCCTCCCCAACTAACCAGAACCCTGGAGTCACTTTGTCCTGGTGCCAGGTCTCTAATCAGAGTTTCTAGGGAACCCAACCTCCACTCCTCTAATGCTCTGTAACCGAACCAAGGAACCACTCAATCCCCACAACCTTTCTCCATATTGAATTCCCTGCTATCCCATGACCCCGCTCCTTCCTAGGCTGACTGCCCAATAAATATGCAAGAGTTGTGTCCACTGCTTTATGTCTGGGCTAGGAAGGATGGGCAGAAGCACAGGCCAGTGTGAGGTTGGAGGATGTTTACTGGGGTGGGGGACCTGGGAATATCACTGTCGATCATACATCTCCCGGAGAATCTTCATGCTTTCTGAGTAACGAAGCTGGTTCCGATGAGATGCCTCCTTCCACCTGGGAAGGCAGAGGAAAGACTCAGCAATAGCAACAGAAGTCATGAGGGCCAGCAGGTTGAGGGATGCTCACCTCTGGCGAATGCGTTTCCAGCGCTGCATGTTCCAATAGATCAGTATGGAGGGTGAAGGATCAGGTTCTGAGGGCTGTGGGGAGAGAGAGGCCAGGCTGGGTGACTATGCTGGTGTCCCCCACGACGTATGCCCCATCACCCAAGGCCAGCCTTGTATAAACACCTCATCGTCGGGGGTGCCCTGGGTCTCAGGTTGCAGGGGGGATGGAATGCGGGACCTGCAGGCATCTCCAGGTGGCCCAGGGGCTGTAGGTGGAGGCAACTTGTACACATCACGACTCTTATTGTTGGTAATCTCAGAACCCTGCAGACACAAAGTCCCAAACCAGCCTAAGAGTCAGAACAGAGGGCTGGGAATACACATTTCATCCCTCCTGCCTTTCCCAGAGACAAAAGACATATGGGCTTTGCCAAGAAATCTTCCAAGGGTTGTGCCTGAAGCCTAGGGGTTGCATTTGCCTGCTCCAGGGACCCCTGTCTTATGACACCTCAAGAACCCTTGTCTACTCTTTTTTTTTTTTTTGCTACCAGGGATCGAACTCGGGTCCTTGCGCTTGCGCAGCAGGCAGCGAAACCACTGAGCTAAATCCCCGGCCCCTCTTGTCTACTCTTAACAGTCCAGGGAACCCCAACTATACCTGCCAGTCCACCCCCCATGGAAGGTCTTGTCTGCTGTTTGCCTCAGTGGATTCTGTCTAGGGGTTCATGTCTGTGTTGCCCAGGGACCCCCTTCCACAATGGCCATGTCTGCTCTGATCTTGACAGTTCAAAGGATCATATTATCTGTCCTGGGGACCCCTGTCTACTTTCTCAGGCCGGGTGATTTACCTACTCCAATCCATCCCTACTCAGCCAGCCCAGACGGTCCCTATCTGCTCATCCAGGCTGCCTAGTAACCATACCTATCTGCACTAAGAACCTCTGTCCAGCCTCTGCCCTTTAGCTTTTGGGGACCCTTAATCTTGGTTATGTCTATCTGCCCAGGGGAACCCTGTTCCCATTCTCCCTAGGCCAGGTGGGCATACCTGTCTTCCCTACTGACCTCTGGACTTACCTATACATGCATGTCTTACTTGATCCAATATGCATTTGGGAGACACAGGGACCTGTGCTCATCTTCCATTAGTTTGAAGGGAGGGGCCCTTGAGCCTGTCCCACCTATTACCCTCCCTCGATGCTACCCACCACCCATCCTACCTCCTCATCCTCAGGCAGTGGTGGCAGTGGTGAGGCGGGTGAGCGCTCATGCTCGCGAACCGAGGGGCTATTGCGCATCCAAGCTCGGCAGATTGGGTACAGTGGTGTGTTCTCACTGAACTGGGCCAAGTCCACACTCCGGTCAAACAGTTTGATCACATATGTGTCTAGTGTGAGGAGAGAAAGGGAAGTGAGCATCCTTATGTAGCACCCTGGTTCCTTGTCCACTCTCTAGAACTGCCTACTCACTGGATCGCTGAGGCCCTCCCTCAGCCAGCCCATCATCCATCTCCCTCCTCTTCTTCCTCCGCTGGTGGGGGAAGCGGGCAGACGGCCTGTGTGGGGAGGGGGAGTGTCAGGACCAGGGCTGGGGCTGAGAATGTCTCCTTAGCTGTCTGGGACCCTTTTCACCTTACCTTTTGCCAGTGGCTGCGATGGAGCAATCCCTATGGGGAAAGACTGAGTGTTAGCAGGCTGCCCCTCAAACATATGCCAGTCAAAACCCCTCAAAGAAAAAAAAACCCTCAAAAGGAACCTTGGGCTACAGGGATCCCCTGGACCTTGGGTACCACCCATACCCTTTGGGATTTAGGTGCCAAACATGAGGGGACCTAGCTGGTTTTGCCATGGTCTTTGTACATGTGGAGTGGTTAGGTCTGTGATGGAGGAAGCACAAGGCAGAATGGTTAGGGCTTGGATGAAGGAAGAAGCTATCTACCACAAACCCTCAGACTCAGGTTCCTCAAAACTCCTTACTTGTTGTGGGTATCAGAGGGGGTTTTCCCAGCTTCCTCATCCAGACGCTCCCTGGCAACAGAAGAGGACAGTTGGCTTGGGGTTCCAAGGGTCCAGGGTGGGACAGTACCAAGTGACCTCCCATTAAGACACCTTTCTCCCATCACTTCTCGGCCTTTTGGCTAAGATCAAGTGAAGACACCTTTCTCCCCAAGTCAGCCTTTGGAGTCCTATGCAGATCCACCCAGAATCAGAGGGTCCCACCTGCCAAAGCTGCCAGCCCTATGATCCCAAGATGGACCGGGTCCCAACCTGTCCATGTGACTCTTCTCAAGAAGACACTGCAGAACAGCATCCAGCTGGTTCCGGGCTTTGGCCATCTCTAATTCTGGGGGAAGAAGGTACCAAGCAGGAGTCAGTTCTGCAGGCATATCTTCTGTCAGGGCCAATCCTATAGCTTGACCCAGGTCTGCTTTAAGGCAGCAAGCAGTGGGCAGAGACCAAGAGACACAGGGATTTCCTATGTCCTCCAGAAGACCCATTGAAGATAGGGGTTGAGGCAATGGAGACTATAGCAAAGAACCTTGGGCAGGAGCCAAGGGTATGGATCATACCCACATCTCTGTCCTCAGTTTTAGCTTATCTCCTGAACCCTACCTGGGGACCCCATGATCTGGACACTTCCCCCTGGACATCTCCTAGGCCATCAATGGTGAACTTTTTAGGGCTTTCAATGATAGCAAACAGTTGGCTGGGCATGTATGTCATAGGTTCACTACCACTGCCCTAGGCTCTTTCTAGCCACTGGGCTTGCACACTGGTCTCAGTGTCTTAATTTACCCCTCTTCTTGGATCCTCCAAGAAGGATGACCACACTATCCCCCAGTCTCTTCACTGGCCTCACCTCTCTCACTCCCCATTATTCTTTTTTTTGAGACAGGGTCTCACTTTGTAGTTCAGGCTGGCCCTGAACTCATTACATAACTCAGGCTGGCCTCGAACTCTTGGCAATCCTCCTGCCTCTGCCTCCCGAGTGCAGGGATTACAGGTGTGAGCCACCACGCCCAGCTTCTCCCTATTATTTTTAGTCAGGCACCCTTTCCCTTTCCCTGATGTTCCTTGAATACATCAAAGCTTCCATTTCAGGGCCCTTTCAAAGCTACTTCTTTTGCTCCATTAGCTTTTCCTTCACATACCCTCATGTTTTTCCCACACCTTGCCCTACTCCAGATCTCCTTACCTTCTCCCATCTTGGAGTTTTTCCCCCTCTCCATAAATTTAAGAAGCAGGATCTCATTATGTTGCCCAGGCAGTCCCTTAATTCCAGGGCTCAAGTGATGCTCCTGTCTCAAGACACCAGAGTAGCTGGGACTATAAGCTCATGTTACTGCACCCAGCTACTCTCTAGTTTTGTTCTAAACCCATCTAACATCCCACTTATTCTATCTAACATCCTACATGCTTTCCCCCTACTGACCCTCCCATTCTGGTCTTGGGTTTCCATCAACTCTGCCCCAACCCAGAGCTTGTTTCCTCATCCACTGCACTTGTCTAAGCTTTAGTTTCCCCATCCATTGCACTTTCTACTTTCTAGTTTATTGGAATATAGTGATTGTGAGGATTAAGAGTCCCTGTTGCCGGGGATGTAGCTCAGTGGCGCCACACCTTGCCTGGCCAGTGCAAGGTCCTCAGTTCAATCTCCGGTACTAAAGGAAAAGAAAAGAAAAGAAAACGTCCCTGTCCCTCAGGATCATAGCACAACCCCCAATTCGTGATTACTTCTGGAAACAGGGAAACTGAGGTGAAGCCAAGAAAAATGCCTTTCTCAGAATCACCAGCTCGGGATGCCCATGTTTTACAGTACCACACTGCGTGAACCACCACCTTTCAATCTCAAAGCTACTAAGAGGAGAGTTTGGGAGTGTATGAAGGTGGCAGCAAAAGCTTGCTGCCTGATAGAGCGCTTGTCAGATGGGTTATAGGGAAAAGTCACGTAGTCGCCTTTTCAGGACAATCCTGTCTGTCAGGCCTCCCAAATCCTGATCAGCCGGTGTCTCTGTACAGGGCCCGGTCCTCGGGGTCCTCACCTGATTTTTCCACTTTCACCTTCACCGGGAACATGGTTTGGTCCGGAGTCTGGCTAGCTGGGTCGAAACAGCCCCAAAGAGCCTAGGGTCACAAATAAAGGCTGGAAGCGAGCAGGGAGAGGTCAAAGGTAAGCGCCGAGTACGACAGCCCTCCGGCCTGAGTACTGTCCAGTAGTGACTGGCCGCTGCCACCTCCCTTCTCCCCTTGTGGGTGGGCCCTTTCAGGAGTCGATTGTTTCCATTAGTCAATGAATTCGGCAATCACCTTTTCTGACCAATTAACAGCTACTATTGGAGGCTCCCAGCCTTAAATCCCACCTTCCTGGGGCCCCATTTCCGGAAACAAACCAACGACAAGACTGGGCCCTTACTGGAAGGTGTAAACTCAGAGAAATGCCGCCAGCGCCACGCGCGGGGCACACTGGGAATTAAGGCTCCAGCATCGTGAGGGTTCTTGGGAATTGTAGTGTTAGGCTTGAACACCAATTTGGCTACTTAGAGGATTTAACTACCGGTGGGACTCCCTCTAGTCCCTAAGAGGAAGACTAAAGAGGCTGGGTCCCTTTTTTCAGAGCACTGGCTATGTGTCAGATACCTGTTAATGTCTTTTTAGGTACAACTTCTTTATTTAGCAAATATCTGCATGCCAGGCATTAATCTAGGCACTGGGGATTAAAAAAGACAAAACCCCTTGTCCCAGTGTAGCTTACTTTTATACATTCTTAGCGAAATGTGACAGGCAAAGGAATATAGCTTGAAATGGAGCATCAAGTTTGGAGTTGAAATTTTAAATAGGAAGGACAAGGGAAGCCAGGGGTGGTTGTGTACATGAGGTCTCAGCACTCGGAAGGCTATGGCAGGAGGACTGTTTGAGTTTGAGGCCAGCCTGGGCTACACAGTGAGTTCAAGGCCAGCCTGGACTACATCACAAGACCCTGTCTCAAAACAACAACTACAAAAAAGGAAGGTTGGGGCTGGGGATTTAGCTCAGTGGTTCCGGCGCCTGCCTTGAAAGTGCAAGGTCCCAAGTTCGATCCCTGGTACCGCCCACCAACCCCTCCAAAAAAGGAAGGTCAAGGAAGGCTTCTCTGAGAAAGTCCTTGAATATATCTATTAAGGCAGACATCACCTCCTTCAAGGAATGAGAAACTTCTATTTACCACATATGTCTTGGGCCAGATAAAGCTTAGGGGGTAGCATCATGATCTGTATTCTGTTAGGAATACTAAAGCCCAAAGTAGGTAAAGGCACAGAGAAGTTCTGTTTGTGGTTCTGGGAATCAAACACAGCACTTCATGCATGCTAGGCAAATGCTCTACCACTGAGCTGCATCCCCAGCCCTGAAAGTCTTGTTTTTGAATACACAACTACCAGGATTGCAGCTCCTAGAAATGGAAGTATTATTCCTTAGTTCCTCATTGATAAAATAGGGTCCTGAGCAGAAATTCCTATTTCAGAGGGTTATGTTTGGTACTCAGTGAAAAAAAATATAATGTGTGAAGCATTACTCATGGCACAAACCAAGCACTCAATGAATACTTAAAAAAATTTTTTTTGTACTGGGATCGAGGCCAGGGACTTCCTACTGAGCTACATCCCCAGCCCTTTATCTTATTTTAATTTTTAATTTTTTTTTTTGAGACAAGGTCTTGCTTTGTGTTCAGGCTGGCCCTGAATTCACTTTGTAGCCCAGGCTGGCCTTGAACTCCTGGCAATCCTCCTGCCTCTGCCTCCCAAGTGCTGGGATTACAGGCATGCCCCACCACACCTGGCTTAATTTTTAATTTTGAGACAGAGTCTTACTAAGTCCCTAAGTTGCCCAGGCTGGGCTTGAACTTTTGATCTTTCTGGCTCAGCCTCTCAGAATTCTGGGATTACAGGGGTGTATCATCACCACACCAGGTAATGGATTTTTTTTTTTTTTTTTTTACCGGGGATCGAACTCTGGACCTTGTGTTTGCGAGGCAGGTGGCAGAGCCACTGAGCTAAATCCCCAGCCCAGCTATTGGATGTTTTATGCTTCAATCTCCAAAAGATCCCAGGAAGTCAATATTGAATGTTAAGGTCCTTTATTGGGGGATGTCAGCAAAGAAGATGGGAGATGGGCATAAGTCTTACAAGTCTTTAGGGCTTGAAAGTAAGCTCAGAGCAGAGGAGCCCATCCTGGGAGAAAGAGCAGGTCCCCATCCTGTGCTGAAGTTGTCAGGGGGTTCCCAAGGGTATGGTAAAGGAGAGGTAGTCCCCAAGGGCACCCCAGCGGGGCCGGTAGATCTGGAAGACGGTGATCCAGGTGGTGAGCACAATTACCCAGAAGAGGAAGCCCACAGCTGAGCGCCAGACATCTATAATGGAGAACAGAGAGGGGAGGGTTGGCCTCTAGCTCCTCTCTTGACTCCCTCAGACCAGCCCTCTCTACTGTCTCACTGAGGCCCAGAACTGGAGCCTCCATCATTCCCTCCCACCGCCCACCGGCCTCCTTCATCTGCGCCCTAGACTTACAGCCTTTGATTTGGCTCTGCTCTGTGTAGGCTGGGACAAGGAAGGCCTCTCGGAAGAACCAGAAGATGTTGACCAACCACAGAAAAGGCAGGAATGCAAACCCACCTAGGGAGAAAAACCCACACTGGGCCACAGAACGAGGATCTTCCCCCAACACCCACGTAGAATACTTATTTTGAAGGTCCTCTCCCATAACAAAGTTCAACTGGAAATTTCTGTAGTCAGGAGCTCAGGGATCCTGGCTCTTCCTTGGGGTCCTGGAATCTGACTCCTCAACCACCTCTTTCTCAGGACTCAGAAATCCAGTCCTCTAACTCTCCTCTCAGGGCACTGAAACTGAGGTTTCAGCTTCCTCCTTCTTCAGGACCCTGGCCCTCCCTTCTCTCAAACCCAGGAGTCTTCACCTGATTTAACCTTAAGATCCACGAATCCACGCCTGTAGGCCCTCTTTCCTGGTCCCCTTTTCTTCTCTTTGAGCCCTAGAAGATCGGTCCTTACCCAGATAGTACTTCCGGCACAGGTTCAACTTCTCCTCATTGGAGACCCGCTCCAAGTTCATAGCTGCACTAAAGCCCGGTAGTCCTACGAGACGGCCGGGCAAAATTCAAGTGACAGATACAAGTATCACGAACAACCACGCCCCTATTACGACAAAGAGAAATTTAGGGGTGGGTCTGTTGGAAAGGGGTACCCCCGCTCCCACCAGCAAGCTCGCCGAATTAAGAACCGCTATATCGGGACACGCTAAACGATTCCCGACTCACCAGTGGTTCTTACTTCCTCTGCCTTGGACGCTTTTACCCTTTTCAGCCACGCAGGTTTGCGTGAGAGGCCGCAGGTTTTTCTGGAATTTGTAGTCCCCCCCCCCCCCCGTCACGGCCCGAGGTAACGTTATACGCATGCGCTGCCTGTGATGGGGTGGGGCGACGCCCCAGGCCTCCAACGCGCGTGCCCATTAGTGAGTTTCTGAACGCGCGATAAGCGTCCGGGTAGTGACGAACTACACTTCCCAATGCTCCTACGCAGCGGAAGTGACGCAAGGGGCAAATGTGTTGGAGGATTTGGATAAAAATGGCTGAATATTTAACTTCAATATTCGGGACTGAGGACATGTGAGAACAGGCACAGGGAATGGCCTCGCGAAGGATTCCGGGCACTTGGGTCTTTCGTGGCTGGGCGGTTTGGAGCGGTGTTTCTGGGATGTTCGGCCTCCCAGGCCCTCAGTTCACCTCTGACTTTGGACCTCTTCCAGAGTTAACTGCTCGTTTTAAGATCGGGGCCTGCTGGCACGGGGACCGGTGCTCCCGGCTTCACAACAAACCGACGTGCAGCCAGGTGAGACCCGGTACGGAACTCTGGGGTTAATGTCTCCCGGTCCTTTCTCTTCTGTAGTTCATCATCACAAATTCCCGCCTTTTCCGGGTTCCTAAGGTCCACCCTTAGAAACCGGAGGCTTTCTAGTTGGACCTCTGCAGATTCTTTCCCCGAGTTTCAGGTCCTTCTCCCGGGCATCTAGCCACGCCCCTATACTTAGAGACTTGGCTGCTGGGCTGTAATTACCAGGTCCTCCCACACTCTTGTTTTTTCCTTTTTTCTTTTTCTTCTTCTTCTTTTTTTTTTTGTTTTTGTTTTGAGACAGGGTCTCATGCTGGCCTTGAACTCACTATGTAGCCCAGGCTGGCCTCGAATTCAAGGCGATCCTCCTGCCTCAGCCTCCTGAGTGCTCGGATTACTGGTGTGCACCACAATACCCGGCACACTCTTGTTTCTTAGCAAGTATGATGGTTAGGTTCCTTCTCTGGTTCAAAATCCCACTCCCAAACCTGCATACCCAACTCTTTTCATGCAGCCCTGCTCTCCGAGCTCAGGTACTGCCCCTTTTAAATCTTTTCAAATTATAGTGCTGTTCAACCTGTATCAGAATCCACAGGACACAGCCCAAACCCCAGACGAATCACACTGTAGGGGATCAGGCAGAACAGGTTCAGGGTGGACAGCCCCCAGCAGGCCATCCCTCTTGATTCTACCCTGCCCACTCCTCCAGGTCACGTGAGTGACATTGAGGCACGGGAACACATGATAACTTCTTTCAGGTGAGGGTCGGCAGGATAGGTTGGGTTTTCTGTGCTCCAGGAATTAGCTGAGTTCCTCCTGGTCCTTCACAGGAGGTGTTCATGGAACTGCAGGAGGAGTATGGGGCATTGAGGTGAATGTGAGCAACAACTTGAGGGACCAGCTCTTGGGCAATGTCTGTGTCAAGGTGCTTGCTGTCCCCTCCTTAGAGCCCAGAAGTGGAGGGTCACCCATGAAATCTCACAGGTTAAGGTCCATCACTAAATCCAGACAGCCTCAAAGCTGCTGACTAATCCCCTGAAGATCTCCATTTCCTTTGTTGATCCCGACCCACTGTCCTCTCAGTTCTGGTGGAAGGAGGATACAGAGAGGGCAGTGGCTGAACTCAACATCCGCTGATTCAACAGGCAGGCTGTGGATACCGAGCTGTTTCCTGCCACTGACTTCTGGGAGTCATGCTGTCAAAAGTACGAGGATGGAGTATGGTAGTGCAAGAGTGGGAAGACACTTGAGTATGTAGTGGGTGGCTATCAGTGATAGTGGCCTCCTTCATCTGTCCTCTACTAAGGGAATGTACTCGAGCTGGCTTCTGCAACTTCATGCACCTTCAACCCCTATCCTGGAACCTCTCTCCAGTGGCAGCTCTATGGGCAGAGACCCAGATGCAGGTACTGTCACCAGCTAGCATGGGTCCTTGGTTTAATGACAATGGAAATTAAAATAACTGCTGGGCATGGTGGCACACCCCTGTAATTCCAGCACTCTGGGAGGCTGAAGCAGGAGAATCAAAAGTTCAAGCCCAACCTGGGTCATTTATCAACTTAGCAAGACCCTGTCTCAAAATTTTTAAAAAAAGGCTTAGGACCAGGAGGCATCCCACCTGCCTGGCAAGTGCAAGGTCCTGAGTTCAATCTCTGGTACTGGAAAAAAAAGGAGGCGGGGGCTGGAGGTGTAACTCAGGGCAAAGACCCTGGGTTTATTCACCATTATGGGAAAAAAAATTGAGCTGGTCCCTTGACAAAAGAAAGTAAGAGAAAATAAGGAAAAGACTCTAACTTGAGTATCTAGAGGGGCATACTCTAAGGAAGAGGATCAGACTGGCCCATTCATAAAAGAATGAAGGCCAGTTTTTATGCTTGCTTTGGTGGGCTGAGATTGGTCAGCCCTTGTCTCAGTCCTTGTTTCATAGCTCTGGAGGAATCCTCATGACTTGAGGAGCAATTCAGTTTCCATGAGATAAATCCTTATGAGTTGAGGGGCAGTTTTCATTCTGTGAGGCTCTGCTGGAATATAAGGTGACTCTAGGTTTAGGGCAATGGAGATTTCTGGGCATAGGATAGTTGAATGCTCCTGTAAATCTCTTATTCTTGTGTCCTCAGTCTTGAAGGGTGATGAGATAGGCTAGGTAAATTTAGAGCTAACATACCCTGTTTTGCCAACTTTTAGACAGACTTTTCCTAAATGACTAAAATGCCTATATACAGAGCTGAGGATTTGACCCAGAGTTTTACAAAATGAAGCCCAAGCTTTGTTCTACTTTTAATTACTTATTGAACATGTGTAGAACGAAGTGGAGAGTCGTGATTTTTAGGGTGGAGGAAAGAAAACAAACAAACAACACTTTCCAGGGCCGGGGATTTAGCTCAGTGGTTCCGCCGCCTGCCTCGCAAGCGCAAGGTCCTGAGTTCGATCCCCAGTACCAAAAAAAAAACAAAACACTTTCCAGTCTGCCTCAGAAGAAAATACAAATCATGCTTCTGATGAGTAACAGGTTAAGGGCCCAGAAGTTTGTCTTCCGTGTTAGTACCTCAGGACTAGCCTGCCAAGATTTCTTATCCCCAGAGCCCTCTATACCTTGAGCCTGATCGTTAACCTCAGTCACAGTGTCCCAAGACTCATGCCCTAAGATTAGTTCTGATCCACATCTGGAGACCATCACTTAAATCTCAACCCCTAAACTAGCCTGAATCCCAAATCCAAGACCAGCCTGAATCTCCAACGATGAGACTACCTCCTGGAACCCTAGTCATGTTAATGTTTACCGTACCCAGCCCAACAGCTCCAAGCCAGCTATCTATATTCCTCTCTCCAGGTCACCCCCCACAGGGTCTTATACTGGCTACTGTCCCAAAGAAAGAAACCAACGGTGTTTCCCAGACCACCAGCATGGTGATTTCTGAAACTTTGACCCTTTTGCCCTTCATCCCTAACAGACAGATATTTTCAGCCAGGATCACTCCTCAAAGCCCCCTTTACTTTCCAGCCTCACCTTTCCCAGGTTCCAGAACTCCAAATTTATCTGTTCTGCTGTCCCTCCCCTGTGGTAATAAAATTTCGTATTAAAAACACTGAGCCTAGGGGCCGGGGATTTAGCTCAGTGGTTCCACTGCCTGCCTCGCAATCCTGAGTTTGATCCCTGGTACCAAAAGAAAACCACCCAGCCTAGCTGTGGGTGTTTATTTCCTTTTTGCTGACAAAAAGGGGAAATTGCACTGCCTCCAACCACAAAAACAGTTGAACTTCAAACAAGAGCTGTGAGAGGCTTTCGACCCAGGTCTGTACTGGTAGTGTGGTGATGCTTTTGTGCTGGAAACCTCAGCATTTCTCTTTAAGGCTTCTTCAGGGGGCGATGCAAGTTGGAGGATTCCTAACATGGTGATCATGTTTCGGGGTGATGGTGCTGGGAGTCCATTGGGAGTCTCCCAACAAGTTAGGGCTGAGCTCTATATCCCATGCTCCCTCCCCTTTATTTTTTATCTTGAGACATGGTCCTGCTAAATCAGTAAGTTGCCCAGGCTGGGTTTGAGGTGTTTTTTTTTTTTTGGTACTGGAGATCGAACTCCGGTCCTTGTGCTTGCAAGGCAGGCGCCGGAACCACTGAGCTAAATCCCCAGCCCAGGGGTTCCAGGTTTTTGTGGTCCTCCTGCCTTAGCCTCAGAACTGGGATTACAGGTGTATGCCACTGTGCCAAGCTAGAACTGAGTCTTTGGAGCCCACTACCCTGAGGTAGGAGTTGATAATACTTAAATTAAGTGTACTATATGCCAGGCATTGTCCCAGGCAATTTACTTTTCCTGTTTGAGATGGGTTCCTGCTGTGTTTGTTGCCCAGGCTGGTCTGGAACTCATGGGCTCAAGGAATCCTCATCTCAGCTTCCTGACTAGCTGAGACTATAGGCAACCACTACCACACCTAGCTCTAAATGTTTTTTTTTTTGTACCAGGGATCGAACTCGGGATCTTGAGCTTGTGAGGCAGGCAGCAGCACTACAGAGCTAAATCCCCAGCCCCTGGCTCTAAATGTTTTACTTCTAATAACAGTTTTAAATTCTCCACTATGGCTCTATGAAAGAGGTGCTATTATTACACCATTTTAGGGATGGGAAAAGGAAGGTTGTACGGAAGGACAGGGAAATATGAATCCACACAATCCTGATACAGTTTTCCTTAGCCATCCTGAAGCCTTGGGGCTTCTCGGATAATAGGTCAGGAGTTGGGTTGGAAGGTGGATTCCCAGTTTCCAAAGGGACCTGGGAATCGTGTGCCTTCACTTCCACTACTTCCTTCTTCCACCTGGGTTTCCCGCAAAGTGCGGCAGAGGCGCTGCGGTCGGAAGTCCTGCAGTCGCGGCCCCCAGGCTGCAGGCCCCGGCTCGGATGGGGCTCAGGTACTTTCTGCAGACCGTGCTGCTTCTGGCCCTGGCAGCGCCATCAGAAGCCTCCCAGTACTGCGGCCCCCTCCAGTACTGGAACCCAGACAACAAGCGCTGCAGCGGCTGCCTGCAGCCCTTCGGGCCGCCTCCTTACCCGGGTGAGGAGCCGGGACTGGGTGTATGCTTAAATCCGGGTGGAGATAATGGGTGACAGGGAGCTGGGGAAGGAGCGACATGTGTGGGGGTACATCCAGTTGAGGTTTCCTTAGGGATGTCAGGCTGAGTCGGTGCGGAACCGGAGAGTGTGAGTTAGGGCCACACCGAAGGGACGCGGCGAGGTAGGAAAGGATGGGCGTTGAAGAGATAAATCCGGATGTGGGCGGTGCTTAGTGGGGAAACGGGCGGCGGGGGAGCGGGGCCTGTGTAGGAAGGGGGATGAGACTTACGTTGATAGGATGGGGAATATATAAGGTACGGGGACAACGGATAGGGCAAAAGGAAAAGGGTGTAGCTAGCGCTGAGGACTAGGGGCTGGGTAACCCGATTGAAGCTAGCGTCTCGCACTAGACCACGAGTTTGAGGAAAACTGCGGGCTCAATGACTTCGGGGATCATTTGAGGCACCCGTTCAAAAAATGTTCTCCTGGACAGTGCAACCCCGACTTGGCAGAGCTGTGTAGCCCCTGCAACAGAGGAGCTCTGGTCCCTACTCCCACTGGGAGCCGCGGCGGGACCCAGCAGTGCTATAAAGAGGTGCTGGTCCAACTGTGGAGGGCTGGGCCAGGGTTCCCCGGAAGTGGGGCGGGGATGGGAAAATGGCTTGATATCTACGCGCGTGGCCTGGATCCAGGGAAAGGAAGAGTAGTGTGCTGGAAAGGGTCGGAGGTGGGGTGAAAGGAACGGACAGACTAAGGCCCCAAAGGATTAAGGGTGGGAGACGGCTGATGGGGAGGAAGCGGGGCGTGGCCTCCGGTTTACTCCCAGACCTCTTCCCAGAAGCCTTCCCCTGCCAAAGGGTTCTGTGCCCCGGCAGCTGAAGAAACAAGTCTCTACACTGCAGGAGCCCATGTCACCAGGGAGTTCCAGTCTCTCATGGACAACTCAGAGCAATGTCTCTCCACATTTTGTCCTGCCATGGGTGTTGGTCTTTTTCTTAGTCCTGGTCCTACTCCTAACCTGCATCCTTCTGCAAAGGCACCACCAGCACAAGGCAAAAGCCGATTCCCTTCTCTGCCCTGGCTTGGTTCAAAAAGACCCCAACAGTTACACCCTCTCCTTGCAGTCACCCTCCCCAGGCGCTTTGCAGACAGGGTACACGGGAAAGGTTCCTTTGCTCCCACTCCTGAGCATGGCTGAGTTGGGGACAAGCCACACCCAGAAGGGAAGAGGGGGTGGAAGCCTGCCCTTCCACCACTTCATTCCTTCCAGTCTTCCAGAGCTGGCAGGTCTGATGACACAGCTCCTATCTCGACTCCTGGATGAGCTGGAGGTGCTTGAGGAGCTGATTGTGCTACTGGACCCTGAACCTGGGCCTGGAGGTGGCTTGGCCTACGGTACCACTTGGCACCTTGCTGCAAGATATGGGTTGCCTGCTGCCTAGTCCACCTTTGCCTACTCCCTGCGGCCCAGTCGCTCACCACTGCGGGCCCTGATTGAGATGGTGGTGGCAAAGGAGCCATCAGCCACTCTGGGCCAGCTCAGTGTGCACCTGGCCCAGGTAGGGCGGGCAGATGCACTGCAGGTGCTGTCCAGGCTTGGCTGACCTGGGATCTATGGGGGCCTACAATAAAAATGAAGTTTCCTTTTAAACAAATGCCTGCTGTCTCTGGTACCCATTAGGGGTCTTTCTGAAAGCAAAGCCCTAACTGGGCCAGGGGGACCCTGCATCCTCCTTCCCCAGAAAGGCCTACTTTATCTAATAGCCACTCAATAGAATATGAACACTTCTTGCTCTGAAGCCTTCACAGACCCTGCCATTTACTTCTAATTCTGAAGGACTGCCTCATACCTACTGTTGAGGCTGATGGACTTCCTTGGTTCAGGATGGGTGTGGGGCACAGAGACCTGAGAGTTCCTACCTGCCTCAAGCAGGTACAAACGGGAAGACCACCTCTCCAAACATTGACAGGCTTTATTGTGGGGGGTTCCCACCTGGGACCCCACCCTCTTAAATAAAAAAGTGCATAGAAAAGAAGGGATTTAGAAACCTTTGTACAATATCTACATCCTGGGCCCCAAGGCAGGAAGGCGGCGATTGCTAGGTGGGCGAGAAGGTTGGGGGCAGGGCCCTTGCCAGCTGCACGCCCACATCCACCCTGAACAGAAAGGTGGGAGTGAGATGCTTTGGGAAGGACTAGGGAGACCCCAGGCCAGGGACAAGATGGCATTAGGGGGCTTGAGGAATTGTGGGGAGCCACAGCCTCAGTTAAGGAACCGACGGCAGCGCTTGGCGCCACAGTTGCAGGGCAGCTTGTTGCTGGCATCCTCGATGGGGAACTTGTAGTCATAGGTGAGCTCCTCACCACGAAGGATACGCCGCAGGGCAAAGATGACGATGTGCTTCTGGCCCTCCACATGGATGACACGAGAGAAGCAGTTAGGCTCACATGAGTGGTTGATGAAGCGGGCTGCGTTGCCATGCATTGTGGCGTCCACCACGTCAAAGTCATCCATGCGGAACATGTAGCACCCGATGCCCTACAGGGATGGGTGAGGGAATTAGGTGCTTGGTCCCCATGGGCAGCCTACCTCCCCCACCTTCTTGCCAGGGCCTGTGGAGCCCACCTTCCCGTCGTAGAACTTTTCCCGCTTGTCAGTCAGCACAGAGCGAATGACAATGCCAGAGTATTCAATGACCATCTCTCCAGCATCAATGTTGCGTTTACAGAACAGGCCTCGTCCATGGATGGCTGATCTGCAGGGTAGGATGGACAGGGGGACCTCAGGGGCTAGAGGGACAGACCCCAGGCAGCCCCCAACCAGGATTGTCCCTCCACTCAAGGGGCATCCTCCCAACCCCACTAACCTATAGACACCCACAGCCTCTTTGGATGTCTTTTTGAGGTGGCGAAAGCGCATGGCCATGGGCAGCTCCAGGCTGGTGGCACGTCTGGTGGGGGATAGCAGTGTGACATAGGCTGGTATCCAGTTATGACCTCTCGCTCCTGCTCACCCTCTTTAGGACTCTTCAGACCACTCCCAGCTCCCCTGCTTGCCCTCTATACCTGGTTGACCTGAGCTGCACCTCATCCTCTTCCTCATCACAGGTGGCCCCTTCTGGGAGCACCCGATGCTGGGAAGCCAGGAAATTGAACATGTCAAAGGTGCACTTCCTGCAGAAAAGAGGGAAGAAAGGAGAAAGGGTCACAGCCATTGGTTCAAGGAGATGCTGCCTACCAATTCTGGGGCCTGGGCCGAATACTGGCACCACAGGAGGAATATACTGTTGAAGACACAGTGAAGGGAAAGAGGGTGGGGTTCGTTCTTTTTTTTGTACCGGGGATCAAACTCAGGACCTTGTGTTTTCGAGGCAGGGGGCAGAACCACTGAGCTAAATCCCCGGCCCCTCGTTCTTCTCATGTTACTCTAGAATAACTCTTGGAGTGGCCTAATGTCTTGGTTTCAATCTGTCCAGACTTATTTCCTATCCTTGAGAGATCCCACAGGGTTCCCCAGCCCTCTCACCGGAGATAGACCTCAGCACGGGCAGCCCCATGGGGATTCAGGGGTGGTTCCTCCTGGCCCTCGCCTTGCTGGTGGTAGCGGAATTTATAGTGCTGGCAGTGCTGAGCCCCAGGCAGCTGTTCTGCCAGGAAGATGACAGCATCATGTTGGATGCCCAGGAGCCTTGCCCCACTCATTCCTGAGGAGAGAAGTTGAGGACACACTGATTATGTGAAAGGAAGTGGTGGTGGTAGGGACATGTACCAGTCACCACTTACCACTAAAAGAGAGATGTCTGAGCCGAGCATGTCCTCGGGCCTCTTGTACTTTCTCAATCAGAGTTCTCCATGCCCCTAGAGTGAAGACAGGGCCACAGCAGTCAGGATGAGGTCTGATGGGACACTTTCTCTCCCTGACACTGCTACTCTCAACTCACCTTCCAAGCTCTCTGCCTCCACACTGAAGCCATCCTCACTGGTGATCTCAAAGCGAAGATGCGGGCCGGCTCGTTTTGGAACCTGGTTCTCTTTATCCTCTGGGTACGGAGGCTCTTCCTCAGAGCTCGAGGCTTCACCTGGTCCCAGTGAATAGGTAAGAGCAGGTGAGGATCACCTCACATGAACATAAAGGCCCCACCACCCTGCCCCCAGACAAAGCACGGACACTGGAGTCTAATGGCCCTCCTCCAGCCCCAACTGCCCAGTGAGCCCTGTGGAATGGACAAGGTTTTTCTAAGGAGCTGCCAGTTCCTCTTCTGCAGGACTTCTTGGCTCTACAGGCCACATCGATGGCTTACTGAAACCCATGTATTCTCTAAACATTCATCTACCTGTAATTTTTCTGCTTTTCACATAAAAGTACTAGTGAGCTGGGGTGTGGTGGCACATGCCTATAATCCCAGCACTCTGGGAAGCTGAAGTAGGAGGACCCTAAATTCCCATCCAACCTTGACAACTTGGTGACTTATAGAGACTTTGTATCAAAATATGAAAATGTGGGGCCGGGGGCTCAGTGGTCCCACCACCTGTCTCATAAGCGCAAGGTCCCAAGTTTGATCCCCAGTACCAAACAAAAAAAAAGAAAGAAAGAAAATGTGGGCTGTAGATGTAGCTCAGTAGCACCATGCCTGCCTGGCAAATGCAAGGTCCTGAGTTCAATTCCTGGTATGGGATAGGGGGAAGAAAATGTGCTAGTGCTGGGCTTGGTGGTGCACACCTGTAATCTCAGGACTTGGGAGGCTGAGGCAGGAGGATTGCCATGAGTTCAAGGCCAGCATGGGCTACATAGTGAGTTCAAAGCCACCCTGAACTACATAGTAAGACTCTGTCTCAAAAGCAAAAAAAAAAAACAGTGCTAGGTTCATTCCTCAGTACCAGGAAAACAAAAACACTAGAGCATTATGTGTTTGAAAGGAATTTTTTTTATATTCAGTAAATTTATGTTCCTTTTTTATGGTGTTGGGGATGAAACCCAGGACCTGGTACATGCTAGTCAGGGGTGCTACCACTGACATATTCACCCAGCCCTATATGCAGTAAATTCTTTTTATTTGTTTGAGATGGGCTCTGCCTATGTTGCCCTGGCTGGTTTTAAACTCCTGAGCTCAAGCAATCTTCCCACCTGCACCTCCTGAGTAGCCAAAACTATAGGTGTGTGCCACCATGCCCAGCTGTAAATTTCTATAAATATTACAAGTATACATCATATAGTTTTGGAAACACAGTAGCAAGTACACTGAAGTTTACAGTGGACCCTTGACTTACGAACTCAATTCGTTCGTGAGGGCTGGTTGTAACTCATGTTGGTCAGGCTCCTCTACATAGCCTTCAAAGTCTCCCTCCTGCATAATTTTAGGCCACACTTTCTTCCAGGCAGATCTTGGTGTCCTTAGAGAGACATTGGCCCAGGATTTCTCAGTTAACCCCACACAGGAAAGGATGTGGTAATGTTCCTTCCAGAACTCTTTAAGGGTTAAATCTGTATCTGAGACCATCTGGAAGCACAAGTGGCCAGCATCTAGGTTGTAACTCAAGACGTTGCTTGTAAGTTAAAACTAAAATACCGGCTGTAACCGAAGTTGTTCATGTCAGGCTGGTCGTAACTTGAGGGTCCACTGTACACTAAACTATCAACTATTTAAAGGACTTCTCAGGGATTAAGAAATTTTGAACATGGAAAAGACAGGACTTGCTGACATACAGTAAATGTGGATATGACGAAAAGAGCAGTTGTCAAGGATAACTCAGAAATCTGGTGCTTGAACAAATATAAAACTGCCATTGATTGCAATGGTGAGGAGAAGGAAGAAACAAGTTTAGGGAGAAGGTCAAGTGCTCAGTTTGGAACATGTTGACTTTGGGATGCCCTTTAGAAAATCCCCCTCCTGCAACCTGATGATGGAGTTGGTGAGGTGGAAGCAGACTGCAGGAGCCTGGAGCCCAGGGCCTAGGTCTGGGCTGGAGAGAGCAATGTGGGGACTATCAGAATACAGATAAGATTTAGAGCTGTGAAGCCAGAAGAAAGCATCTGGGGAGAAAGAGAAATCAGAGCCAGAACGCCAGATACAATAAAATTGGCAGGCTGGGAAAAGGAGGCATGACCAGAGGTGAGTGTGGGGTCTTGGAAGCCAGGGAAGGGAATGCTTGGAGGAGGCAGGAGTTAGCTGCCCAACATAGGGGACAGACTGAGGGCTGACCACTGTATCCACGGTTGGGGGCAGGTGCAAAAGCTTGAGGGGAACATAATTTAGGAGAGCAGGACCCACAGGGCCGCTGTCTTGCCCTATCACATCCCAGAGCCACCATGCCCACACACTCTCCCCCAGCCCTAAGTGAAACCCTAAGCTAGACTCTGCTGTGTGATTAACATCACCTCCAGCCCTCAGCACAGTAGGGTTCACCTCTAACAACTTCTTCCACCTCTTCTCCTCTTTCCCCATTGAACCTCTACTCTGTTCACCAACACAACAGGGCTGGCTGCAAAGCCCTTGCCTAGGCACTTTCTTATTGCTTGTTTTCTACTGCAGTCCATTTGTGCTGCACAACAGACATGTTTGTTTTCCCTACCAAAACTTGGTATGGTTCCTAAGGGTAGGAACCCATCTGTTTCAGTCACTGCCACATCCTTATGCTATCTGACTGCTTTAAGAAGCCTCTCAGCAAAATTGTCTCAGGCCACCTCCCTCCACTTCCGTACTCAACAGCTAAGCACTGTGTAATTAGAAAATCCAAACACCTGGACAGGATTGGGTCACAATATATCCCGAGCCAGCAGATTGCTCAGACCCCTAGCTTACTTGTTGCCCCCACTCTGAGTGCCCTCAGGGACCAACAGAAAACTTCACTTCCAGCCTAGGTGGTAGCAAAAACTATTAAGCACCTCTACACAGGTCCCAATCTCTGCAAACTTCCCTCATTTCCTTTTGCCCAGCTCTGAGCCTGTTCAAAACCACCCTGCTTCCCCGTATACCCTGTTCCTTCCATGACCACTCCTTCTCTCTCACCCTCGACTTTGCTGTCTCAGCCCTCATACCCAACATGGCTATGTTACACCCTCGTCTCCTCTTCCTAATGCATAGCTGCACTTTTGGGTGAGATGCCTCACCAACACTGTCTTTAATTCTGGACTCTGACATAACCTCTTCCCCACCCTGTACCACCTGCTCATACCACTGATCCTGAACCCCGCAGGCCTGGTACTCTGTGGCAGCTGGGGCTAGACCATTGCCCTGGGCCTCTGGGACACCTCTCATCTCATCTTCCTACTGTTCTGCCCTCATCTGGGTCCTAGAGAGTTCCATACTCTGGATGATCCCCAGAACTTCATCCTTGGCTTTATTAGGAACCTAGACCCCTGACCCTGACAGACTAGGCTCTAGTCTAAACTAATCCCCTGGGATTTTGGGCATGCTGGCCAAAGCGCTATCAGCGGACTTGCACATGGAGCTGAAATGTCACTTCTGCTACAAGGCCACCGACTCCCCAGGGCATCTCTGTAACTAGTAACCAGTTTCAGGAGTGTGCCCAGTGAGGGTGCATTTTTCTTTTCTTTTGGGTACTGGGGACTGACCCCAAGGATCCTCTACCCTGAGCTACATTATCAGCCCCTGGTGTGTACTTAGTTGTTTTTTCATTTGTCTTTTTGAGACAAGGTCTTGCTATGTAGTTCAGGCTGGCCTTCAACTCACTGTGTAGCCCAGGTTGGCCTTCAACTCACAGCAATCCTCCTGCCTCAGCCTCCTGAGTACAGGGATTACAGATGTGTGACTCCATGCCTGTTATACTATTTTTTTTTTTGGTATACTAGTTTTTGAAGTGGACCTACTTTGGATCTGTCAGTCACCTAGCTGAGCTTGGCAGCATGAGGAAGGCAATGAGAAGCAGCAGCTGGTTCTTACCTGAATACTGATGCCATGACTCAAGCAGCAGGTCTGAGGGCCCATCAGGAGCCCGAGGAGGACCACCTTCTGGAAGTGGCAGCAAAGAGGATTGTTCCTGGAAGGGCCTGTGAGGAGAGACCTGTCAGGAGGGGAAAAGGGATACAGGTCCCAGAGCCTGTAGAAAAAGGGGCCTGGCCACTTACCGAAGGCTTTCCTCCCCAGGAGGCTCCTCAAGATTATCCAGGTCAAGAGTTCCACGCACTGTGGGTGTTTTCATCCTTACTCGGCTAAACCTGGAGGGTAAGCACAAGGCTGAGCTAACTCTCCCACCCCTCCCCGGCCTGCTGTCCCAGCCTCAGCACATTCACTTACCCACTGCTGCTGAGGCCTGGAACTTGGGAAGTGTCCTCCAAAGATTCCCCCTCTTCATCCAGCCGGGGGGTTTTATTTGGGGGAGGTGCTGGTGGGGAACGGCCAGAGAAGGTAGACACCCTCTTGACACGGATGGCCTGGCGGGGTGGGCTGGGGGGCCCACTGCTAAACACCAGCGTGAGTGGAGGCGGAGGAGGGGGTGGGGCGGGGCGGACCACCCCTACTCCTACCACTGGCAACACCCCCAGCAGGGGTCCTGGGGGCAGAGTCCAGGAAGTGGGGGCTGCAGGGGGAATAGTAGGGGGCAGAGGTGGCTGCTTTACTGGGGCTGGGACAGGTTCACCTTCCCCAGCCATCTTCACAAATACTTGCCCCAGCTTGTTGACAAGAATGATCTTGGATGTAGCGGGTTTAGGGGGCTCAGGAGCAGGGCCCAGGCTCAATACCCGGACCCCTGGGGCCCCAGGGAGCCAGGCAAATGTCCGGGTGGGGTCTGCTGGGCTAGGGGGCAGACCTTGAGGGGCCTGGCTGCCATTGGCCAGGGGAGGTGCTGGGGGAAGTGACTCCTCTCTGGGACCAGCAGCCCCCTCCCCAGGACCCCCTAGGTTCTTTAAAACAAAATCCACAATTTCTGATGGCAGGTCCTCAGGAGGTCGGGCCCTATCCCCTGCAGCCCCGAGGACCCCAGCTCGGCCCACTACAGGCCCTGAAGGAGGAGTCCCTTGGCCCCGGGGCTGCTGTACTGCCTCAGCCTCACTGTCTGTGCCATCATCCACTCCGTCCAGTTGCTCAATTCGGGGGGCTCCAGGGAGGGGGCCAGGGCCCAGGGCAGGGCCAGACACTACAGTCACAGGGAAGTGGACATAGTGGGTAGTGGGGCTGGCTTCCTCCTCTGAGCTATCCCCTGGGCCCCCATGGCTGCTCCCCCCTGCCCCTGCGGCTACAATCTCTTCCTGAAAGGGCTCAGTCCCTAGCAAGCTGGCTGCAAAGTCCAGGTCAGCAGCACTCAGTCCTGACACCACCTCCATGTCCTCAAAGTCTGGGCCCAGGTCTTCATGGGGTGGTGGAGGAGATGGGGCCAGGCCAGGGGGAGCCAGCTCCCCTGAGGTAGGTGTGAGGACTGTAACAACTGAGGTAGGAGGGGGCGCCCTGAGCTGAGGGGAGGTTCTGAGAGGAGGGGAAGTCCGCCGTGATGGTGGTGGCCTGGGGGCTAGGGGGCTAGGTCGACGGGAGCGTCTCGGTGGAGCTGGGAAGTCCGGGTCTCCCACTGTAGGGATGTGGTGGGTCAGAGAAGATGGACTTCCTGTGGGGGAAAGGATCAACATCAACCAACCATTTCGGCCTCCACAGCCCCACGTTCCCCTGGATATTCCCAGATGCTCACCAGGGGAGGGCAGGGGGCCAAAGGAGACACCCCCCAAAGGCCTCCGTGATGGCGAGTAGTTGGGCACTTTGATTCGAGCCCCTGAGAAGGAGCGAGGGCCAGGAGCAGGAGCAGGAGCAGGAGCAGGAGCAGGAGCAGGAGCAGGAGCAGGAGCAGGAGCAGGAGGAGGAGGAGGAGGAGCACTGCCTGAATCTGGCCGAAGTGGGGGGTCCAGGTTCTGAACAGGTGAGTGGTGCTCAGGAGCTCCAAGGATTAGGGCATCTGTATCTGGAATGGGGTCCTCATGATTTGGGGTCTCTGAAGAGCCAAGAGAAGTGTATCAGGGGTGGCAAGAGTTCATCAAAGCCTCCTAACCACGTGCCTTCCCTTCTTTTAAGCCAAATGGACCTTCCAGAGTCTTTCTTTTTTTGAGACAGGGTCTCACTATCTGGCTCAGGCTGGTCTTGAACTCATTATGTAGCTCAAGCTGGCCTCGAACTCATGGTGATCCTCCTATCTCAGCCTCCCCAGTGCTGGGATTACAGGCATGTGCCATCATGCTATGCCCAGCTTCCTTCCAGAGTCTTGACCTTGACCCAGTCACAACACAGACTAATGTCCAGTCCAAACCCCATTCACAGCATCTGCAACAACTCTACATATACCTTGAGTCAGATCCCTTCATAACCTCGTCCACTCATCCTCTGCCGTGTCCCTGCATCCTGGCTGCCTGCTGCTTCTCTGAGGCACGCCCATGTGCCACGAGTGGCAATGCCCTCTGTCCAGAATGGCCAGTCCTACCACTTTCTTATTGGCTCTGTACATCTCTGCCACATCAAAGGCATCTGCCCCATCCTGGCACTCAAGGCTATTACCTGGCCCCACCCAGTGTCTGCAAACTAATCTCTGCCTCCTCCACCCAACACTCTTGTTTGCAGCCATGCTGGATGCACCCTCCTCTACTCTTACTTTTGTGTCATGCTCCAACTTGGAATAAAGCTGTTTCTCACAAATGAGAACCAAATCTCTTCCTCCTCCTGTGTGGCCCACAATGACCTCTTCCTTTACTAATCTCCAAGCCCATTCTTGTCTCTGTGCCATCCACTCTCACTGCCATCATGGAAGTGTGCCAGTTGGAAAATGATCAGATCCAGGGTCACATCATGGTTCTACCCTGTTACTGCAGAGAGCAAGTGTCCACCCACCCTTTTGTTTTGTTTTTGAGACAGAATCTCACTCTGTAGCTCAGGCTGGCCTTGAAGTTCAGGCTGGCCTTGAACTCATGGCGATACTCCTGCTTCAGCCACCCAAGTGCTGAGTCCTGGGATTACAGGTGTGTGCCACTACGCCTGGCCCTTTTGTTTTTGGTAGGTGTCCCCCTGGTGTGCAGTACAGCAGAGCTTGTACCTTCCCCCTAGAGGACTGAAGTACCAGTTGAGCATGTAGCCTTGTCAGGGAGCGATACTCGCTTTGCTTCCTACAGCTGTACCAAGTCACCATTCCCCTCCAGCTGACTTTCTCCCCTCTTCACTTCCTGTGAAATGCCAAGCACAGTCCCTGGGCACACAATGCACAGCCAGTAAGTTTCTGTTACTATCTTATGACAAATGAAAGAATAACAAGTGTCCTGGAGTTTCTTGAATAGAGAAGGGGATAGGGGCTGGTGAGTAACTGTTTAGCATTCATGGAGGAGAAAAAGGCAGTATCAAGCCATACCTAAGGAAGGGGCAGGGCTGTGCACAATGGTCTGGTTTTCCTCTGCTGTCTCCAGGTGAACAGGCTCTTCCCTTGGGCCCCATGGCCGATACTCCAGAATTCGGCACCGATACCAGCAGCGCCTCCGAGCATCCACTGTGCTCCAATACAGACGGGAGCACCTGGCGGGTGGTTGTGTGGAACAAAAGGGTTAAGATAACTTGGGAAAGGGGATGCAGCCCCAACGTCCCCCAAAACCACTTAACACCCATGGCCTGCTCACTGGTAGCCAATGGGGAAGAGCCGTCCCTCGAAGTCCGAGAGATCAGAGAGAATACCCAGGGAGTCAATTCGGATGGAGCCTACGGTGTACAGGAGAGGTCAGGGAAGGTCAAGGAAGGCAAGGTCAACAAGAGACAGCAAGAGAGGGAAGAGAGTAAGTGGCTTACCAATGAGCACATTGATGGCATCGGGCTCAAGCCCTGTCAAGAACTTTCGCTTGAAGTTGATGCCTTCAAAGTCCACATAGACTCGGCGGAGAACATCAAAACCATCAGGGGTCACGATCTCCTGGGAAGTGGGAGGCAAATGGGGTTGCTGGATTGGTAAAGTGTGTAGGGCACATGAGGGAAAAGCTTTGTAGGCAAAGACTGAAGTGCCAGGGGCTTGGCCTACAAGGCTGAGGGAGAACACACAAAGAAGAGGCACTGAGAGAGCAATGGGCAGCTGTCACCCCACTGTCCTGGCCCACCTTGCCATCCAGGAGGTCTGTGTGTTTCTGGCAGAAAACTTTTTTATCATCCTGGAAGATGCAGTAGCTGGCCCGGGCACACATGAAGTGAAAGTTGCTGAGGCAGGAGGACAGGCAGCAGCCTACTGTGGCTCCAGGCTTCAGACAGAGTTCGCAGCGCTGCATGGGGAAGGGGCTGCTGAGGAAGAAGCCAGGAACGAGGGCCAGGGTCTGGCACTCAGCATTGCTAACTCTGAGACTCTGCTTACCTCCCTTTCCCCCTCAACACCCTGCACAGCAAAGACTCTCACCAAGCAACACCTCCTCCAATCACATCTTGCAATGAGCTAAATCATCAACCCCTTTTATTTTTTATTGTGAGACAGGGTATCATTAAGTTGTTAAGTTGTTCAGGCTGGGCTCAAACTTGGGATCCTCCTGCCTCAGCCTCCCAAAGTGCTAAGATAACAGCCATCACACCTAGCTCCCCAGTCTTTCTGTGTGTGTGGTACAGGGGATTGAAACCAGGGCCTTGCATTGAGCTGTATCCCCCCCTTTTAAAATTTTTTGACACAGGGTCACACTAAGTTGCTCAGGGTGGCCTTGAAGTTGTGATCATCCTGCCTCTGCCTCCTGAGGAGCTGGGATTTCAGATGTGGGCCTCTATGCCTGGGTATTTGCTATTTCAGATTTTTTGAAGGGAGAAAGATATTAACAGCTAACACTTACTGAGTGCCATTTACCATCTTCTACACACCATTCTAATGTGGAACCTGATTTATTCTATTTAGATTTCATAACTGCCCCCTGAGATCAGTATCTCTATCATTCAGCTTGGATACTCTCCAGGATCCAGCCCAAGACTCAGAGTAAGTGGGGGATTCTGAACCAGACAACGCTTCATCTCATCAGGGCACAGTGACAGCAAAATGCTATACAGTGTGGAAAGCACCCAGCATAGGTCCAATTGAGAGGGTGTCTAGCTTTTATGGTCTTGGGCTTCAGGCTCAAATATGGCCGGAGGTCAGAGAGGAAAAATGCTATCACCTAGCACCCAAGTTCTTTTTTTTTTTTGAGACAGGGTCTCACTTTGTAGTTCAGCTGGCCCTGAACTCAGTATGTAGCTCAGGCTGGCCTCAAACTTGAGGCAATCCTCCTGCCTCTGCCTCCCAAGTGCTGGGATTACAGGCGTGAGCCACCATGCCCGGTTTGTCCCAAGTTCTTGGAAAAGAAAAACAGAACCTAGGACCAGCAGTGAAAAGGACATGATCTACTAGAAACAGCTGAAGCAGAGCTGTCTCCTCAAAGGAGAGCTCAATGGCTGCCCCTGTCAGGCCCAGGCCTCACCATCTGCCTCCCACGAGCCACAGCAGCGTGCACATTCTTGAGGGAGCCATCATTCTCCTCAAACACTTCAGCTGACCAAATGGCACAATTGACATGGGTCCACTCATTCTGTCCGATGTACAGGAGCCTCCCTGCCTCCTGGGAGCAGAAGAGGAGTGGTGTGACAGGTGCTACAGGAACCAGGACCCACAACCTCAGACTTCACACAGCAGCCTCACCTTGGAGTCTGCATCTCCATATTTGAGGCAGAGCGCACACTGACGAGGGTCTTCCATGTGTGAGAAAGCAGCTGGATCCTTGCCTTGGAAAGCTGGAAAAGAGGAAATCCAAGAATCAGGACCTGGAACCTGGCCCACCAACTCAGGGCACTGGCTTCTAGCCTCCATATTCCAGTACCTGCTGAGGGATCGCCTGGAGGCTGCCCTGATTCTGGGGTCTCTGATTCCTGCTGTCTCCACTGAGCATAGACATGGTCCAGGGATGGGGGCAACACCGCATTAGGCAGCACTCCGCTGTGGACAGGCAGGGTTAGCATCTGACATGTCTAACAAGGGCAGCAGGACTGGGGCCCACCCACAATATCAGCCTAAACATGCCATGACACCCTTCATCCTCTCTTCACATGGAATTTCTCAGTGCTCCAAATAAGCCAGGCCCTCTGTGCCACCTCTGACATACGAAATGCTGTTATGCTCAAATGTCACCTCTTCCAGGAAGCGGTCTCCGATCCTTAGGCTCTAGCAGGTGCCTCATCTGGGCTCCTAAGACCCCTGGGCTTCCCCATCACCACCCTAACCATTTGGGTCACTAGTGCCTGCCCATGCCCCAAACATTTAAGCTCTTTAAACAGAGTCCAGCCTTACTTGCTCACTACTTTGTCCCCACCTGTTTTGCCCAGGTACAACCAAAGCGAGCTACACAATCCAAGCCTGCTAGTCTAGGGCCACTGGAGAACCTCAGTCTGGTCTGCCACCCTTTTCTCCAGCCTCAACCCTAACTCTGCACCTCATCTTTTCTCAGCCCAGAGTGACCCCTGGATCCCCAGGTGACCCTGCCACTGCGCTCACTCCCTGGTCCCCCTCCTGCTACCCAGCCTTGCTCACTTTGGCAGCCGGGTACTCCGTCGCCAGTACTTGGGGTCGTGGGCGTCGAACCAGCCGAACGCAGATTCTAGCAGCTGGGGAGTGGGTTAACAGAATGAGAAGAACAGTCTTCCCCAAGCGCTGGTGACGGTAGGGTCTGAAAAATCCACTCTCTCCGCCCAATACCACTCAAATCACCCTACAGGCATCCCCATTAAAGCTTACCTTTAGTAGGAGCCCCTTCATCTGGCTTCCAGCCCGGCGCTCTGAGGTTTCTCCTTCTGAGTGCCTCATCAAGATGCTCACCATGTCCTCCATAAAGCTGTGCTGTAAGGGGGGTTGGTCAGGTTCTGAGCTCCAACCCCAACCCTCAGCTCTAGCCCTGCCCTCTCCTCTTGGTACCCACCTGCTCCTCCCCGTGTCCTACTCACCACAGATGTGTAGTGGCCTTCCTCAAAGCGCTGACCCACAGTTTGCAGATCACAGGGTCCTGGGTGCAACTGCTTCTCATCCTGTCCACACTGCAAATGAAGGAAGTCAGCAGGGCTAGTGCTGGGCCCAGTCCCACCCATCCTGCCTCACAGGGCCTCCAGACCTGGGTACACAGCAGCAGTGGGCCCACCACCTTCGAGCTCAGCAGGCCCTGGAGCACCTGACGTAGGCCCCCTTGCAGGGCCCCACTCAGGGCCTCTCGCCAGCGAGGCTGTGTGGCCCCAGCACATGGTCCACATGTGTACAGCACCGAGTCTGGTAGCCCTGAAAGGATCTCGTAATCTTCATCTAAACAACAGGGTGGGAAAGGAGAAAATAGTTTGTGAGGACGTGAGGGCTTCTAGGAGCCTCTGAGCCAGTGATGGCAAACCTTCTAGAGCTTTCAACAATAACAAACAGCCAGCTGAGGCATGCGTGCCAAGGTTCGCCACCACCGCCCTAGGCTGTCAAGGACATTTAGCCTACTTGTCACTGAGGGGTATGGGATGGGAATGGAGTAGGGAGTCCCTAGGTCAGTGATGGTGAACCTTTTAGAGCTTTCAATGATAACAAGCAGCTCTCAATGGCAAGTATGCCACAGGTTTGCCACCACTACCTTAGACTAAGGCTGCAACCCAGTTTTTCTGCCAACTCACCTGAGAGCCCCTCACACTTGGCATGTACCCAGTGATCACACTGTGCACACTGCATCATCTTGCTCTCGTAGTCATTGTCTTCATAGCAGCGTGTGCAGATTGGACAGTAGTTTCCTGCAAGCAAAGAGATGACAAAGATGAAGTGGTTAGGGTTACTTCCTACTGCTTACAGTCCTTGTTCAGAGGCTAACCACATCTTGACTGTTGTTTCCATTATACTTCTGTCTTGGGTCCCTATTGATCCCTTTAAAAAGCTGGCTGAGGAAACAGCTTCTTTCCCAACTCTGCATTCCCAATACCTTTCAAATAATAGGACCTTCCTAAATATGTTGCCTGAACTAAGGAGGAATGTACTGGTTTTCAAACTACCCAGTGGAACCAGAAGAGTTGGGTCCCAAGCCCTCAACTTCTACTGCCCAGGGAGGAACTTTGTGTTCTCTTATATGTGCACTGCATGGACTTCTGTGGGAAGGTGCTCTGAACTGAGGGAAAAGTTCTATAGGTAGAAGATAAAAAGCCACTAGAGGGCCGGGGATTTAGCTCAGTGGTTCCGCTGCCTGCCTCACAAGCGCAAGGTCCTGAGTTCAATGCCTGGTACTAAAAAAAAAAAAAGCCACTAGAATACCTGTTCTAACACTGGCAGAGGCCCTGCCCTACAGTTAGGAGCACTCCCCAGTAGCCCTTGCAACGTTCCCTTCCAGGTCCCACCTTTCTCATAGAGCTGGGTGCACCTGGGGCAGAGGCTGTAATCTCCAGACCACTCGACGTCCCAGTTCTTGCCTGGAGTTGCCCCACAGCTCTTACAGCGGACACAGGCTGAACAGATCTGAGGAAAAAGGGAGATGTTAGGAGAAACCAGACATCAAGCTGGAGCAATACAATGGGGGAAATAGGCAGGAAGAACTGGGGGAAAACAGAAGAGGAAGGACAAGAGAAGAAAGAAATTCAAGTACAGGAGGAAGGTGAGAAAGGACTCAACATTAGATGAGAGCTGTGATGGCGAACCTTTTAGAGCTTACACTGATAAACAGCTGAGTGCAGCACACATGGCATAGGTTCACCACCACTGGGCTAGAGAAAAGGATTCTAAGCCTGGGAACATGGAATCCATGAGATCATGAACCATTACATCAAACTCTGCATCTACATCTTGTCTATATAAAAATGGTGAGGGCTGGGGATTTAGCTCAGTGGTTTTGCCACCTGCTGCGCGAGCGCAAGGACCTGAGTTTGATCCCTGGTACCAAAAAAAAAAAAAAAATTAAGCCGGGGATTTCGCTCAGTGGTTCTGCCACCTGCCTGGCAAGCACAAGGTTCTGAGTTCGATCCCGGTACCAAAAAAAAAATGGTGAGAGGGCCCGGGGATTTAGCTCAGTGGTTCCGCTGCCTGCCTTGCAAGTACCCGAGTTTGATCCCTGGTACCAAAAACAAAAAGCTGAGAAAGAAACATTTATGACATTCTCAAAGGAATCTCCAGTTCTCCCTTTTTCATGACACCCCTTGCCTAGAGCAAGTCTAGGGGTAGTCATGGTATAATTAGAACACCAAAGTGAGATGTGGGCCTCATCTCTTACCCAGTGGCGTCGTTTGCGTGTGGCCCGGGTTGGGTAGCTGGGGCCCAGGCAGGCTGGGTGGTAAGCATGGCAGCAGCGCTCACATTCCAGTAGGTGCTGTGGGATGTTTGTGAGAGACAACTGCAAAATCTACCAATATAGGGATCCTCCACCTCTATAGTTTCCCTTCCCCCAGGCTGGCCCGTGTGTCTAGACCTTGGATGCTCGGCCTTTACGTCCACAGACATGGCAGAATTTGCAGCGGCGGCAACACCAAGTGTCACGATGCTGGGGCAGGGGCCGTTCAGCCTCCTCCAGGCAGAATGGGTGGAAAGGATCACAGCACACTTGGCAGAACACCAGCTGGAGGTGGGGATGAAGACAGCAAATGATGGGCACAGTGTGAGGCCAGAAGGCCAGGGGAATAAGACCTGGTTGAGAAGTCAGGAAGAGCCAGTGAAGGCCGAGGCAGAGCACCAACCTCATGTAGGCCTTTGCTGGCACACAGCAAGCACACCATTGGTGGCCCCCCTGGCACAGAAGTGAGCACACTCAGGCCACCCATCAGCCACACGTTCTCTAGGTCACAATCCTCCTAGAGGAAGAGAGGACACAGGGTTGGAGAACAGCCAAGAACACAAGACAGATCCATCCCTAAAACCCTGGCTGCCCATCTCAATAGGACCTTGCATGGTTAACAGGAATGTAGTTCAGTGGCACCACACCTGCCTGGCAAGCTCAAGGTCCTGAGTTCGATTCCCGGCATGGGGGTGAGGAGAAACACTGGCTGCCCTGGGATGATCAATGAACTTTTTCCAACCACAAATCCTGCAACTTCCAATGCCATACCTTGAAATCCACACGGACCCGGTGCACACCATCTGGGGACTTCTGTTTTCCAGTCCAGCCATTGGGAAAAGAGGCAAAGGAGCCAGAGCCCAAAGCATCCTAAGGAGGGATGCAGGGCTAGTCAAAGGTTGCCAGCCTCACCCTCTCTGTGGGCTCTCCTCCTCATTGCCCTTCCTCCAGCCCATGGGACTCTGCCTTTTGCCCAAATCCCACTGCTTTCCAGACAGGCAAAGTCTGCCTCATCCCTCAGGGCCTGCCCTCTGGTGTGGATACACCATGTACTCAGGTATGCCTGTCACTCTGACTTGCCAGGTAGCTCCTGGAGGGCAGGAGCCATGCCTCACACGGGGCTCAGGGTTCTTGGAGCGGGCCTGCTGACCTTGTCCAGGCGCTTTCGGGCCTTGAGCTGCAATACAGGCTGTAGGGTGGGTTTGCGGGGTCGGCTCTGCTCCTCTGGTTCTGGCACTGGCAGCTCTAGGAAGGACACAGAAACAGTGAGGTCCTCCCCTTCCATGCCTCATCCCCATCTTCTATAACCCCCCAAAATTACCTAGATTCCTAGGTCCTTCTCTAGGTAACCAAGACACTCAATGATGATCCTTAGGCCTTGCTTGGTAAGTTCAGTGAGAACCTTACGTACCAGTTCCATTTGACCCCTAAAACTGCCTCTTCTCTGCCCTCAGCCACCCTCTTGGGTAGACTGATAGGATCCTTGGTCTGAGAGCTCTGTCCTTTTCACACAAAAGATAACCAAAATGGGGGTGGGGTGTAGCTCAGTGGCAGAATGCTTGCCTGGCACACACGAAGCCCTAGACTCCATCCCCAACAATGCAAGAAAAACAACAACAACAACAACAACAAAGCAAAGACACAAGACTGACTGAGAGAAAAAGTATCAAATGGTTCATACCATTTTCTCTGGGAGTCCGACGACGAGGAGCAGGAGGACCCCCAGGGTCTGAGTCATCTGAATCCTCGAAGATATCATAGGAGGGTCGCTGTTTGACGCAGCGCCGGGCTGACTTGCGCTGCAGGAGGGAGTCCTGCTCCTCGGGCCCTGGGGGGGCCACCACCTCCTCCCGGGGCCCCCCAGCTCCCGCCCCCCGGCGTGGGCCTGGAGGACCAGGGGAGGCCTCAGGAGATTCATCGGAATCCCAGGGCAACAGCGTCTTCACTATCGTCCGGCCTGTGGGAACAGGGGACTAAGTAGGATTTGAGCTTAACCAGGGACATTGGACATTAGGACACGAAAAGAAACTAGGCAGAAAAGAACAAAGACAAGAGAGATACAAAATCCCTTAAAAGAAAAGAAAATGGCAGAGAACTGCAAAGGGGGAAGAGCAAAGAAAAGTGGCTTCCTTCATACCACAATCTACATAAGGTTTTGTGAAGGAATGCTCTTCAGACCTTGTTACCTTTTTTTGCCAGCCTTTCCATCTTCCGAGCCTCTATCTTGTCACACTTCCGGTATCTGGGGAGGGGAGCAGCACGTCACCAGGGTAGGGGACTGGTGGTCTAGGGGAAGAGAGGAAGCTCTCTACAAGGATGCCAATCCCACTGTTCTGGCTGGGCAGAAGGAGGGGCTGGGGCAGGAGGCCTGCTGGCTGACAATCCCAGGTGGCCATGGAAGCCACATCCCAGCTACTCACACACAGCACTGTTTCTTGGTGTTGGGACCTCCAAACTTGGGCTTGTCCAGGCAGTTGACACAAGACCCACAGTCCTGTACACGGAGGCAGCCCCGACAGTGTCCACACCGAGCCATACGCATCTTCTTGCCATGGTGGGAGGGCAGTGAGCGCCGGGGTGTATGGGCCAGAACCCCACCAGACCCTGCAGGCTCCAAGTCTCCTCCAGGACCTGCTGACTCCTTTCCCCTCTGGGACCGGGATGGGACACTTTCAGTCTCAGATGCAGAGGACGTATCTATTGCACCAGAGAGGGAGGAGATGGAGCCACAAGGCCACCAAGCATCCTACCTCACTTCCCTGTTCTCCTTCAGATCCCACTCAATCAGCCCTCTGGTCCCCATGTTCCTCACATACCTAGAACTGACAGGTTCCAGGTACCCAGACCCAATGTGTTTTACCAAAGACCTAGTATCCAATCCTCTTGCCACCTGATGAAAGCCCCTGACTCAGCTTCCTCTCTCCTAGGCTTCTGGTTCAACTGCTCAACCCCAAACCAGACAGGGCTCTCAATACTCTCCACCAAAACAGCCCCCTACCCTCTGTGGTGAGGTCCTGCCGATCCCGGAGAGGGAGGGCACTGAGGCGGGGGACATCTTCAGGTACCATGGCCCGGGCCTGACCTAGGGCCACAGCAGCATGACGGCAGACGTGTTTGATGCGGGGGCCTTGCACAGGGGACTCAGGGCCCTGGGAGAAGAGAAATCAGGAATACATGTGGGGAGCTGTTCCCCGAGTTCCTGAAGCCAGTCTTCTTCAAAGGGCCCTCAGAGCCTACCACATACCGAGGCTCGCTCTCTCTTAGCTTCCACAGACTCATCTTCAGACCTGACACAGCCTCTGTCTAGGGTCTGCTTGACAGTCCCCACGGCCTCCTCCATCTGCCCTCCAGGGCTTGGCTGGCAGGGGAATAGACAGGGTCATGGGCTGGAAAGTGAGGACAGATGGGGATAGGAATAGCACAGGGAAGGGATGGAATCGGGGAAGCACAGAAAAGGACTAGTTTTGCGGGTTCCCTGTGATGTTAGAGAGCATTTAGGGAGGCAGATAGGTGGACTGGTACAAGGACCTGGCCAAAACACCATGCTCACCGGCATTGACGCTGACGCTGCCACCTTCTGTTGCTGCTGCTGGTCAATCTTGAACAGCTGCACCTTGGCTCTCTTAAGGAGGCTGAACATTTTCTCCTCCACTCCAGACAGCGGCAAGGAACCCAGGCCTGCAATCCGTGCCTTTTCCAGTGGCAATATATGCTGTGGTGCTTGTTGCTGTTGCAGCTGTAACTGTGGCTGCACTTGTGGCTGCTGTGGCGGCAATGCCTGGGGGAGGAGTTGGGTCTGCAAGGTCTGCAGGGGTTGCTGTAGCTGAGCCTGAGGCTGCTGCCCATTGCTCAGAGCTGGAGCCCCATGGGGGGGTACCTCAACCTTAACAGGTGTGGTGACCACAGGGGCAAATCGAGGCAGGCTGAGGTGGTTGGTGCGGCCCACTGCCCGTGGCTCAGGCTCAGCTGGAGAGTCATCAGCAGGAAGAGGCTCTGGTTCAGGGGCTTCAGGAGCCCCAAGAGGAGTAGTAAGCACCGATTCATAGATCTTCAGGTGGGCTTCACTTGGGGTAAACTGAGCAGCCCGAAGGAGCAGGGGCCTCCTTGAGGGGGTGGCAGGGGCAGCTGGTGGGGATGGGGCTGGGGGAGGGGCTGGAGGAGGAGGGGGTAGCTCCCGGGTTAGTGAGGTCCAGCGAAATGTGGGTTCCCTTAGGATGGACCGTCTCTTCTCAGGGAGTGGGACTGGGGCAGATGGGGGAGTTGGGGCACGTGGTGGAGAAGGAGCTGGTGCTGGTTCCTGGGGAGCAAGTGGGGAGATGGCGATGGGAGGTCGCAGAATAGGTGAGACCTCCACTTTTAGAGGCTTGGGAGGGTCTTCATCCATAAATCGCCGGGGTGTCTTGATGACACGTGAGGAGCGGGCACTCACTACAGGCATAATAAACTGCCGGATATTCTTCAGGAAGGTGGTACTTTTGGGGGCCACAGTGGGACTGTCTTCCAAAGGGGCTCCTGTGGTTGCACTGGGATTTGGAGTGGGAGGAGAGGTGCCCTCTGGCCCTGCCCGAGCAGCTTCCCGCTCTGCCCGCTGGCTAGGGGTCAGGGGAGGCCGGCCCCTCTTCCTGGAGCATGTAACAGGGACAGCTGGAGGAGGGGACTCTTCTTGCTCTTCTGGGGCTGGAGGTGGTGGAGGGGATGGTACAGGAGGGGGGGACACTGGAGGGGGTGGAGGGCAAGGTGGAGGTGGAGGAGATGCTGAAGGGGATGGAAGAGGAGAAGGAGGCGCAGGGGCTGGAGGAGTTGGGGGTGGTGATGGTGGCTTTGCCTCTTCCTTTTCCTTGGCTAGTATCACCTCCTCCTCAACCACAGTTCTTTCTTCCTTTTCTCCTTCCTCTTTGTTTTCTTCTTTTTTCTCCTCTCCCTCCTCCTCCACCTTCTGCTCCTGCTTTTTCCAATAAGGACCCTCTCCCTGTTCAGATCCAACTTGTCTTTGGGGGTCATCCTGGCAGCTTTCCCCATGTCGACCTTGACCCTGACCTGATTCAAGTCCCAAGGACAACTGTTCCATCTTCACTCTTTTGGCCTTGGAAACAAACTTGATCATGAGGGGGAGCCCGCCTTGGCCTCTGCCCCTGCCTCCTCGGCCTCCTCTCCCAGACTGTCCTCCACGTTTGAGGGTCCCAGGTCCTGGGCCAGGCCCCTCCTTGCACTTCCAGCTGCCAGTTCGGTGTTTTACTGGAACCACAGGAGGTGGGGGCTCAGGTTTAGGGATTGTCACAGCTGCTTCTGCTACCACTACTGCTTGCTGCTTCTTCCGGCTGGGGCCTGCTGGTCGTCCTGGGGGCCGTCCCCGAGACCGACGGGGGGTGGAAGGCTCACATGCCCGGCTCCGGGGGCCTGGGGGTGCCTGGGCCCGCCGGAGAAGTTCAGTCAGTGCCTGCACCATCCGTTCTGTGCCCTCCTCACCCCGTTTTCGAGCAGGGGTCTTGGGGGGGGCAGGAGCCACATCTGCTAGGCGAGGAGGAGGAGGAAGGGGGGTCGTCTTATGCTTGCGGCCCCGACCTCGGGGGGCTCGACCTAAAAGGAGAATAGGTGTGGGGAGACAGGTCAAGCTGGCCCTGCAGACTGAAGGTGCACTGGCAGGGCAGGGACTAAGTCTCACTTGTCTGTTTCTCCCACAGCCCGGCCTAGCTTAGGCTCTGAACACAGGACACACTCAGTAACTGATGGAGACTAGTTAAAAAGGGAGAGCTGACACAAAAGGTGAGAATAACATTCCTGTGAAGCTATGGAGGTAGAGTTTCCCCCATCACTCACCTCGCTGGGATCGGAGCGCAGAGCGCAGGGAAGTGGGGGCCACATCTTCATCTGAATGAAAACCCTGAAACTCCTGATTTAGGTGACCAGGGGTGGAGGGGAGAAACAGCAGTCAGTGCCAAAGCCTGATTCCACCTGGGACTCAGGTATTGAGGAATATCCCCAGCTTCCCTCTTAATGTACCCCTACTTAATCAGAAACAAACTAAAAAAACCGGAACATCAGAAAGGAATAGAAAATGGTCTCTCCCCAGGGATGGAGGCACAAGACATTTTCAACTCTTCTCCAGTGCAGGCCACAGCAGCACAGCCACCACTGGTTTACTGGCTTAGAAGATAACACAACAGAGTCTCTTTGGGTCAGGCAGTAGGCCCTCCGCACTGAGGGTCAACTCTAATTCAGAACAAAGTGGGACCTCTATTTACACCTTTTCAGACTGTACTTTCTTCCTGAATAAAGATGGGAATAGGAACACCCAAGTCGGTGAATGGGGCATAAAATGGTTTACCTTTTTGGGACCCACCCTGGGCCCTCCAGTGATTACTAACTGTCCTAATACACCCCACACTTTCCAACCTTTTCTGATGGTCTGGGGGATAAACCCTGAGCTGAACTCTGACCTGCCACACTCAAGACTCAGTTTTCATTCCATTCCTCTTTAACCTGTGTGCCAAGAAGCAGCCCTACACTACTCTATCTTAGATAGATGAGGAATTGAGACACTGGTGAAACCAGCGATGTGTCAAAGTAGGAGCCCCAGCAGGGCAGTCTACAGATAAGGCCCTAGACAGCTCCAGTCCAGGTCCACTAAAGCCATGCTGCTGCTGTCAACCATCACTGGTTGGGCATGCAGTCCCCATGGCCTCCTCACCCACACGCCTCTACTGCCCTACCTTTGCTACCAAGAAAGATCAGTCTAGGACACTTCAGCAGAACCTGCTCTGAGCCGAGCGCCTGGTTACAGCTGGGGCTTCTCTCCACTTTCAGAAGCCCTATCCACCCAAAGCTCCGTGCAGCCCACCTACTTCCATGTCTGTTTCCAAGAACAATTCTCAGAGCAGGAGTCCTGAGATCCCCACTTCCCACGCCACCCTCCGGGGCCATCCTGAACCCTGTAAAACCCCTGGCCTCCGCCCAGCCCAGCGCCGGGGACGCCTCCGACCGCCTCACCTCATCGTCGGATTCCCCGTCACTGCTCTCCTCCTCTGGCACGTAGCCTCGGCTCGGGCTCGGGCCCCAGCCGCGACCCCGGCCCCGGCCCCGGCCCCGGCCCCGATGAAGGCGCGGGCCCGCCCATAGACGGCGGAGCCGGCGCAGGCCCCGGCGGAGCCCCAGCAAACGGAGCAGGGCCGTGTCCTCCCCTGGCTCGCCTCCGCCTGGCCCCGCTGCGCCGCTACCACGCCGCAGAGCTACCCGCACTCTTTCGGCCCCACTGCCCCGTCCGCCGCGGCTCCCGCCCCCGCCAGAGCCCCGCGGCCGGCCCGGGAAGCGGCCCCGCGCGGAGCCAGGCCCAGGGCAACTGCCGCCGCCCGCCGCCGCCGCCATCTTGGCACCGTGAGAGGGGCCGGGGAGGCGGGGGGAGGGGCGGCCCGTGCGCAGGCCGGGGGGTGGGGCGCAGAGGAGGGGCGGGGCGGCTGCGGCGCCCGACAACAACTAGCGCCACCGCGGGGTACCACGGGAGTGGGAGTCTGGGGCCGGCGGCCGTCACTCTTAAGACTGCACCTGGAAAGCATAGACCCTGCGTCGCGGCCGCGGCGGGGCGATCCACAGAGGCCTCCGGGAAATGTAGTTTTGATGACCTGCTCCTTCCGACGGGAGCTGGGGCGCAAGAGCAGGGACTCGTAGGTCTCCAACCAGAACCGGGAAAGCTAGTTCCGGGTCTCCGGAAGGCGTGGTCCTCGCCCCAGACTCCGCCCATTATTCCGGTCGGAGCCAGAGGCCAGCGTGGACTACCACTCCCAGCGTGCCTCGGGCTTCGGACCCTGAGAACCCGGCCGGCGCTGGGAAACCCGGAGGCGTGGGCTGGGAAGGAACGACGCAAAGGGTTAGTCTCAGTTCCCAGCGAGATCTTCAGGGATTTCTCTAGGCAAGAAGAGAAGGTACCGGAAAGGCGCATCTCTCGGGTCCTGTGTTCAGAGGCAGGTGTCCAAAAGCAGGGCCGGAGCTTGCGCTCCTCACCAGTCCTGGGCCGGGCGCACCTAGCGCGCGCGCGGTATTGTTGCGGAAGGGGCGTTTTTGAGTCTCATAGCCAACCTCCACCCCCGGTCCTGTTGTGAAGTTTTCCGGGACACAGGTCTTTCGAACAATACCTCCGGAGGAGGACTGGGCGCTCCGGGAAGTGGACGCTGCCTGACCCTCTGATTAGCGGACGCTCGACCACCAGAGGCCGCTACAGGACAAGAGACTTGGCCTGGGGGGGTCTCCAAGCACGGACTAAAGTCTGGATTCATCTTTCTTTCCAGTGCTGACCAGACAGCACTCTTTTATTATGACGATGCAACCAACAGAACCCATACAGTTGATTTTCTCTCGAGCAAACGTCAGTGCCCTGGCCTCACCCCGGATGGCTGGCCCAAGCTTCTGTTACCCTCGGCTATTCGCGAGAGGGCTCTCAGCCTCTGCTCAGGCGCTTCTGCGATGGAATTTTGCCAGGCTGTTGGAGCAGCAGTGCCGGCTCAGAAGCCGAGCTGGCTGGCCTTTCACTCACTGGACTCTTGGCTGAGGCCTGAGAAGCTCAGGTGGTGGAAGAGGAGGGACCGAGAGAGCTCACCGCCGGGGACTTTCTCGAGGAGGAGTAGAGAAAAGTGGAGCGTATGGTCCATCCTGGCGGGAGCTGGCTAGGCGAGTGGCCACTCATGTGTGACTGCATAGAGGACAGGCTGGGGCAGCCGGCCCTGCACAGAGGGCAGCGGTAGGGAGCGGCCCCGTGCGTCCTCAGGTGCTTGGTCATGGCGGAGAAGTCCCGGGATCGCTGAGGACACAGGCTACAGGAGAAGGGTTTCTCTCCTAGGGCGGGTGGAGGGCGAGGCCAAGAGAGGAAGGAAGGAAGGGACAAAGGCTGGTCAAATTAGGGTTACACAGGGCGACTAAGGGAGAGAATTGTGCTGGAGCCGGGGAGAGTCACACTGAGCACAGCGCCCATACCTGTGTGGACTCGGTAGTGAGTCTCCATTTGATGCTTGAGTGAAAACCTCTTTCCACAGACAGAGCAAGAATAGGGCCGAGACCGAGCAGGAGGGGGCGGAGGAGGGTGTTGGTGAGATGTGCTGCCTGCTGTGCTCTTCTGACCTACACAGGTTGCCTTTGTGCCTATGTGGATAGAAAAGTCAAAGAAAAGCAGGGCCAGGAATCCCACAGCCAAATCACTGGAATATTCAGGTAAGACATCAGGAGCTCCTCAGGGGCTAAGGCAGAAATGCTCTCATCCTACTCACCTGTGGCCTGCCCAGACTCTTCCATCTCCCCAGGGCTGAGCTGCAAAGGGACCTGGGGTAGGGAACCTGGAGAGAGCAGAGTGAGGAGGAAGAAGCTCAGGCTGGACTCTTGGAGCCCAGCCCCAGGGAAGGACCCTGTATTCAGGACAGCTTACCTTGGGTGGGGCTGGAGGAGACCAACTGGTTCTGACTCCAGAGCCCTTTGGGGTGGTTCAGGGTCAGTGAGATCCTAGGAGTGGGAGTTGGGAGAATTATAGCCTTAGAAAAACCTGGAAGCCTGGGCAACCCTGGCCTCTTCCTCATGAAGGAGGTATCCCGAGTCCTTGGGGGCTGGACCTTGGCTTCCTCTGTGGTGGAAACTTCTTGTCCCATCCTCAGTTCAGGAAATGCACAGTAGAGATAATGGGTGTGATTTTTCCACCCATCTGCTGCCGCTTCAGGGCAGCTCCCTCCCATCCTAACGGTTTTCCAGTAGGCCCTTCACTCACCTCTGGTCCTGAGGCCAGACTTCCTGCCAGGCTCCAGTGATGGGGGTGCTATGGGAGAAGGGAGTGCCATATCTGGGTGGCCACAGCAGGATGCTCCACAGGGAGGGCTGGCCCTCCCCCAGCCAAGGGGCCTCAGCCCACCGGGGGCTGGGGATGATTCTGGTTTGGAGGGAACTTGGTAGGGGATGGGGACCAGGGAATGCCCGCAGACTTTCCTCAGAACTCTCTGTCACCCTGAGGACTACTCCTTGTTTCCAATCTGCTCCCCCATGGCCAACAGAAATTTGGCTGAGTTTCTCCTCCTTTGATCTCATCTCCCCTTGAACCTCCTGTGTTGCCCCTGTCATCTCAGGGCTCTCTCTTGGTGGCTTGTGCTTGTGCAACTTCTGTTCTCTCCCACCAAGTCTAAAACACTTAGCTGAGTTTTGCTTCTTTCCGAGGCTCCCCAGTCCTCTCTCAGAATCCCTCATGGGTTCCTCTGGTTCCTCCTGATGTTTCTTCAGCCCTGGATCCAGCTTTTCTTCAGTCTTATCCTTTCGAGCCCTTCTGCAGGCCTCTTCCAGAGCCTGCACCCCTAAGGCCCTGGCTGCCTCCTCTAGGGGCCCCAGCTCTCCAGGCTGCAGGTCTACACTTTCCCCATAAACAAAGCTCAGAAGCTGCGCAAAGGTGGAATGGCTGATGCCTTCTACCAGAGCCCACTGGCCTCTGCAGCCCAGCTGCTGGCTTACACCTGCTAGCACCAGGCTGTGAGCAGGGAACTCCTGGCCCTCTACAGTGATCAGGGTATCACACAGTGCTGGCCGGAGGCTGGCTGCAAGCCGCACCAACCGATCAGAGCCATAGGGGCTAAGCAGTCTTGTAGGGGGCAAAGGCATTATGCCTTGCCTGAATACCAATCTCAGAGACTGAGAGAAAGGCTACAGTGTGGGGTCCATGGCAGAAAGAGGAGGGAGGAACAGCATGTTCTCAGGCCTGTGGAGGTGAGGAGAGAAAGAGTGAGTTATGGGTCCTACATCAGAGCTGGCTGACATGAATGGAGCAAATAAAGTAGGCCAAGAGACAACCTAAACTTTATCTAGAGGCATAACAGGAGCCAGCAGTAGGGGTGTGGTGTTAGAAAATGGAAATTAGATAAAATTGGAACTTAAAGAGCAAGAGCCAGGCAATTAACAGAAACATCAAGCAGTCAGCTGGGGATTTAGCTCAGTGGTTCCACCACCTGCCTCACTAGTGCAAGGTCCCAAGTTCAATCCCCGGTAGAAAAAAAACACAAAACATCAAGCAGTGGGTTTAAGATTAGTATAGATTTTTTTTAAATAACACTAGTATAGGGCCGGGGATTTAGCTCAGTGGTTCCGCCGCCTGCCTTGCAAGTGCAAGGTCCTGAGTTCGATCCTCAGTACCAAAAATCTCCCCCCAAAACAAAAAACACTAGTACAGATGGCAACCTATGGCTTAAAGGATAGCAGCCGTAGATACTTCTGCTTCTCCAAGCCCTTCTGCAGAGAAAGACCTCCGAGCAGGCTGGGCTTTCCTCATTTCAGGCAGAATTATCACAAAACTCAGTCAACCCTGCCATTTAGGCATAGAGCCAGACAGCTTCATGGGAGAGCTTGGAAATCTAGTGGGCCCTCCTCCAACAATCCATCATGGGGAGCCCATCATGCTGGAAAGTCAGGGAAGCAAGACAGGTTATGGCTGCAGGGAGGCAGACCCTAAGGCATGGGTCAGTCATCTCCCTAAAGTTGAAGCTTCTAAAACACATCCTCAGAGGAGCTGGAAGAGAACAAGGATTCCAATCTAGTGAGTTAAAAAGGCAAATTTAGAAGCCAGGGGAGAAGGCTCCTCCTGATCCAGTGATGGAAAGAGGTTTTGGAGAAGGCTTTGATGGCTGAGGAAGTGGAAAGAAGGGAAATGGGAACTGTCCAGGGGGAGGCTATTCCCTCTCAAGATTAGGACATGGAAATTGTTTAATGTTATTTTTTTATATGCCAAAAAGTGAGTAGAAAGAACCCAACAGATCGGTTTATTGCACATCAAAACCACCACTTTTAGGAGGAGAACTGGAAACTCAGATACCACAAGAAACAGCCCAAGTATTGTAGCACCCAGCTGACATAGTCCTGGGTGCAGGTTCTCCATGAGTAAGTCTGCCTCTTTTTTTTTTTTTTTTGGTACCAGGGATTGAACTCGTGTCCTTGCACTTGCAGGGCAGATGGCAGAACCATTGAGCTAAATCCCCGGCACCCTAATGAGTAAGTCTCTTGTAGGAAAGAAGTTTACTACTTGAATGTCTCAGGAGAGGGCTATAGGTTGGCAGGGAGTGGACAGAAAGAAAGCAGGAGAGTGTAATGGGAGAAAGGCCTTGGCTGGGGAATAAGGAACACTTACCGGCTGTCGCTGCCTCCTGGAACCACATGCTCTGAACTGCTGTTCAGACTCCTGTCCCCCTCCCCCAAAGCTAGCCCCGCCCCTGGCCTCAGTCCTCCATTGGACGTCCCAGGTATCAGTCTGCCACAGTCCCCCAGGGGGTGTGTGTGGTTGTGTGCCCCTGGCTCTGCTTTACACCTGCAGGAGAGACCACACCTCTGCTTCCAGAACCCAGATGTTCTGCCTCTTACCCTCCTGCCTCTTCAGTTGTGAACTGAAGTGAAAGAAGTAAATCTGTGGCAACGAGGACTTTGGGATAATCAGACTTGCATTTGAGTCTCATCTCTGCCAGTTACTAGTTGAGTCACCTTGGGCAAGTCACCTCTTTTGAGCCTCAGTTACCTCATTCATGAAATGAGGATAATCTCTGCTTGCCTCATGTGAAGGCGGGGATGAGGATGAAATGACAAGAAAATGAAAGTTGTCTGTAAGTACATAGCACCATTCTAATGACATTATTTAGAGATGACAGTAGAGCTATAGTAGCTAGAAGCTATTTCTACTACCTCAACAGTAAAAAAAAGATGGAAACATCTGCATTCCAAGGAGGGGGTAAAAAGTCAAAAGCATGCCTCCTCCCTCTCCCTGCTTTAGTACTGGGCAGCATTACGTGCTGTGTGGGAATGAACCCTGTTTTCTGGGCTGCCATTGAGGACTCTGTGTGTGTGACTCAGATCCTCCCATCCAGCTCTGAAGGGGACAAACCCAGCAAGGGCTTGTGGTGGTCTTTGGAGAGAAAAATTTCTTTTTCTTGGCCTGATGACAAATGACATTTCTCTGAAATCAGGACTCAGGGGTTTCTTTCACTTCCTGCCCCAGGGGTCAAAGTCCCTAGAGATTTCCCCTTTTTTCACACTTTAGCACCTTTAATCTGAAGACAAAATAGGCCTGGGAGGCTCACATTTCTTTTTCTGCTTCTTACTGTATTATCACTGATCCTGTAGCAAATTTTGGATTTATTCAACAGATGTTGACAAAGTAGTTATGGTGTGTGCCTGGCATATCATATATGTGCAGTAAATTATTAGAAGATGAGTCAGATACTGGCAGGCTGCTCCGGTGACAAGACACAGTCTGGTTCCCCCCAAATTTCTCCTTCAGATCCTGGTCCTCTCCTAGATCCAAATAGCCTCTCTAGGTTCCCTTTTCTGTCTTTGGCTACAGGACCCCAAAATGTTCAGAACAGCCTCCTACTTTCTCTCCAGATCTAAAATGCCTTCCCTCTTATTCTAGCTTGGGTGTGGGCAAGTGTTAACCCTTCCTAGATCAGACAGGGTGTGTCGGTGGGTGAGGCTGGTGGAGGGGCAATAGGCTGGGGAGAGGGGAAGATGAGTCAAAGTGAAAGGGAAAATGCAAATGGGCAAGCTGTATTCATCTGCTACTCTGAGTGTTAAAGATTTTCCATTTTTGAGCTTTCTAACTCCTCACATCACCACACCCAGGGACACAGTAGATACCCACATAATAAAAGACATAAAACATCAATCCTGTTACATATGTCAACAGAGGGATGGGTACATCTCTCCTCTAATGCAGAAATACACAATCCCTAAAGACAAGGAAGAAGTGGGAAAAGCCAGAAGGACAAACCCCAAGTATAGAAGGAAAGATACAGTGTTCTGGAAGACTGCATCATCACGCAGTGGAGTGTGGTCCCCTTACCTCCTAGCCCTCCATCATGTGCCTGTGACTAAACTGCCCCATTTCTGTGGTTTTTCCCACTGATGACTGTGATCAAAGGGCAGCAACAAAGTCAGGGAGTATCACTGTGCTTTCGGGGAACCTTAAAGGGAGGAGAGGGTAAGGGGACTCCCCACAGTGAACAAAAGCCCCCAAGAATGAGAAACCTCCTGTTGCCTCCCACTTAAGTGTCTGCCCCACCTAAGGATATCCCCTTAGGGGTTCCTTAGAGCTCCCCTCAGGCCCTCTGCACCTCCACCCTTAAGCTAGTGACCCTTGTCTAGCCTCTGGCTACCTTCTTGGTAGTATCATCCAAGCCATCCTGTGCTAAGCACTGACAGCAGAAGCCCTTTGGGAAGGGTAGGGACACTGCTGACCTATTTTTGGAGGTTCTCCCCTCTCTAGCCTCAAAAACCATGCTTCCCTTCCACTTGCCAAGCTGACTCAGTAGGAATCCTTTGCAGTTGTTCTGGGGTATAGCCCAGAAACCACAGGTTAAGAGACACAAGCCTCCACCCTGACAGAAGATAGAGTGGATAGGAGAGATTCAGCACCGGAGCACATGAAAAAGGAGGTCTGATTTCTGTATCTCTGTTCTTTTTAATACTCATATTATTAAATCAAGTTTGAGGTCTGATTTTTCTTTATTCTTGGGGGTAGGGCACTGGGATTGAACCCAGGGCCTTTGCCGTGAGATAAATCCACAGCCTTTTTTATTTTTTAATTTTTGACTCTTGCTAGATTGTTAAATTGCCCAGGCTGGGTTTGAACTTGTCATCCTCCTGCCTCAGCCTCCCACAGAGCTGGGATTATAGGCATACATCACCATGCCTATATACTTACTGATAGACTTGACTAATGAGACAGGAGGAAATGTGTGAGGTGCTCATTTTCAGGAAATGTGTTTGCCTGGCTGCAGTCAGAGCTTTCCAAAAACCCTTGTATCATAAACTCCTTCAGCTTGATATGTCAACACAGCAATACAAATATCAAATATATGTAAATATTAAAATAAGACCATCAGAAAGGTCAAGGATTATGTTTTATGAAAAAATGTTTTCCTTCCATCTCACTTATTTTATATATTGAGCCCACTCCCCAAATCACATTGGACAAGATTCAATTTAGAAATATTGTGTATTAAAAAATTCCACCAAGGAATGTATCTCTATATATCAGTGTGCTGAAACTCTCCACAGTATCTTATGTAGATTGACTAATTGCCCAACCTGACATGAACTTTCAAGATGTTTGCTCTTTTTGGTTAAGTACATCCAAACATACCAGAGGTGATAACCACACCTCAGAATGAATTAGTTCCTTTCTTCCCTTAAACCCATGCTCTACATAACCCAGGAACCACACAGTCATACCCCAGGCTAGCGGAATCTAGGTCACAGAGACTCTTACCATAGTGCACCTTTTGTGGATTAAGTGGAAAAGGAACTAGACTAGAAGTCAGAAAACTTAGATTCCCCTGTGCCCTCATAGTGGATAGTCTTTCTCTTCAGCCTTAATTTGGGGCTAACATCACCCACTTCCACACAGGGATTGTTCCAAGACCAGTGCAGAGTACCAGTATTCACTTAAACTAAGGCAGAGGGCCTCACTCAGATCTCCTCTGGCTGTGTCCCTCCTGGTGGGCTAAGGAGTCCAAGGGCATCTAGGAAGGACCCACCTGGAAACTTAAGAGTACATACACACACATACACCAGCTGCTGTCATGAGACCATGCTCTGGGAATCCATAGCCCAGGGTTTCCTGGACCACATGACTGAATCCACGTCCACAACCAACATGGGCCTCAACTCCATGTTTGTACTCATACAGTGGACTGTGTGACATATACACACCGTAGGCCCCAATTGTAAAGGGCATGTGGGCTGAGCTTGGATGTATATGCAGGCTAGTATGAGAGACACACTGAGGTGTGGGCCAACACCAGGTATAGGAAGAACAGGAAGGGGGAGATATTCATTTGTAGTTTTGCCCAGACCCCATAAATAATACAGGAGCCTGCTTTATTCCAAGGATTCTTAACCTCTTCAGGATAACCATCCAGATGAGAATGTAAGCCATAGGACCAACTGTTTACATTAGAATACAAATGGGGGTGTGTGTGTGCTGGGGATTTAGCTCAGTGGTTCCACTGCTTGCCTTGCAAGCGCAAGGTCCCAAGTTCAATCCCCAATACCAAAAAAAAAAAAGAACAAGAATATGAATGAACAAATGAATGATAAATTCCACAGATTGCTCTGAAGCCCATTCCTGGACAGGTTAAATATTCTTTCTTCTTTATCCTTTTCCCCATCCCTATATATAAATGTATACAAATACCCTTTATATATGACTGTATAGTACTGTTGATTGAACTGAGTAAAATATTTTTTCAAAATTTTGAGCCAGGGTCTCACATGTTGCTCAGGTTGGGCTCAAACTTGTAATCCTCCTGCCTCAGCCTTCCAGAGTCCTAGGATTACAGGCGTGTGCCATCAGCCTAGTTACATACATACAGATATTATTTCTAGGAGCTCATAGACCCTTGAAGTCCACTTAGAGACTATGCCCTGCACCTCCATACAAAAAAGCACTCTGAAAGCATTAATACCATTGAACAGCTGAACGAAATTAAGCATCAACATTATGCCCAATGAGTATAAAGAGAGCATTGCTAAAGACAAACTTGATTTCCTAAAGAGCAGAATATCTCACACACCTCTCCCTGTGTCCAGTATAATATTCACCTTCCCCATGCACCTGCCTCATCTTGCAATCTGATATCTTCCAGGAAAGACCAAAAAGAGCATAAGGAAGATTACAGTGGGGAGACCCAAAAGCCTCAGATGCCACTGTTAGACCCATCGAGAAAGAACCAACCAGAGACCAATATTAAATCCACACAGGAGTTTATTACTGGTCGGGACCGAGCCAAGCATCGGACTCGAGCCCCAACTGTGGGGAGACAAACATGTTTTATACACCTTTGAGGCCAACAGTTTCTAGGCCCCCCTGTGGGACAGAACTAGCAAAGCAAGCGAAAGGTACAGAAGCAGAACATCCTGCTGTTAGAACATTTGTAAAACAATAGTTGATTAATTGTTATTTCTAAAGAGACTTTCTAAGGGGAGGAGGTTTTTAAGCTTCCGCCTTCTGAGTTCATCTAAAGGGCAGGCAGGTGGGTCAAGCAGCAATATGGAGTCTGTCTTGCTAAGTAGGGTCCTTCAGCCACCAATCCCAGTTCTGTCTAGAGCCACTGCCTGGCAATAATAGTTCATCAAAGCAGCTAGGTGGGCTAGGATTCAGAGGCTTCCATCCTAGAACATCCAAAGGATCACTGGCCTTTACCTCCTGGCCACGATGCTCAACCTGGACCCAATAAGGAAAATCGGCCAAGAGCCCCTCAACCACATCTGTATTCCCAGCATGCCCTGGGTGCAGTGACCCTTGGTAACTTTCCTAGGGGCTTCGACCTAGCTCTCACCCCCAGCCCAGGCGGGTCCAAAGACCTCAGAAAACCTTCCAGGTACACACTAACTTCATGTGTTGGCCAGTGACTGTAACTTCTGGAGAACTACAAGCTTCTCCTCTCAGTTACTAGATCCAGACTCAGGCCAGGACCACAACCAACGTCCAGCAGCCACAACTCATGGCCATGACCCTTTGCAGAGCTAAGGGCTTCCAACCTCTTCAGAACGAATTTCCAGCTCGAGGTGGTTTCAGGGGCCACAGACCAACCTGGAATGAATGTTGGGTTGGCTTTTTCACAGCCCAAAGTGCACAGAACCCCCCATTTCCTCTCCAGGACAGAGGAAACCCCAGGGGCTAAAACCCCTCCACTCTTTTCCAACCCTCCATGGCAGCCACACAAGTACCCAGACCCTGCTCTGCCTGAGGTAGGCTGAAACATTCACAAAAAGAGTAATAAATACCATGGCACTCACCAGCTTTAACCCTGTTTGTCTTCCTTTTTCAGCGTCGCTTATATCCAAGCCCAAGTGACCGTTAGAAAGTGGGGAGCGGCGCGAGGCCAGGGGACAGGGCACGAGGTAACGGGAGAGTGCACAGCGCCCTTCGCACCTCGAGGCTGACGCTGATTGGCTGCAGTGCTGCCTGTATTCTTTTTCCTAGCCCTTACCCTAACCCTTACCTGCTGGGGACACGAGCAGCTTGGGAGAAACAAGGAGCAGGGCCACTTCCCTGCTTCTGGCTCAGGCCTGAAGCTGATTGGCTGCAGAGCTCAGACTGCCAGTGTTGATTGGTTACGGAGTTCTCCCTTTCCCACCTCTTTTCTGGACCCTTAACTCCTTCACAGGAATAGCGGAGAAGGCTACTTCCGCAAGACCTCAGAGGAACCACCATCATTCTGTTGTTTCTGGCTTTGCTCTTGAACTTCCCTCAATTTGTTTGTTTATTTAGGTACTGGTGATAGAACTTAGGGCCTTCACACTGAGCTACACCCCAGCCACATACCACCCTATTTTTATCTAGAGACAGGGTCTCAGTAAGTGGCCAACATGCCTAGGCTTAACTCAAACTTTCGTTCCTCCTGCCTCAGCCTCCCAGAGTGGTGGGATTGCAGGCGCGTGCCACCACACCTAGCCTGAGTGGCTCTTGTTTGCAAACCATTGCATCTTTCTCTCACACCCTACCATCTGTGGACATACACAATTCACAGAGAAGTGCGAGGGGCTGTGTAGGATGCCTCCGTACTTTTTGGCCGGAGACCCTCATGATGGGTGGCATCCTTTTCCCGCCATTTGCCCTGCCCCACCGCTGATTGGATGCGCAACCCACTCCGCCTTACCCGGAAGCATTCGGGGAACAGGGAAGACACAAAAGTGGACAGAACCTTGGCCCATGATTGACCTAGGTTCTCAAACTACAACTTCTCGCAGGCTCCATTGTCCGCGAGCCAGAATTAAATGTGTACCTCAGGTACCAGTCACTGCACTGCCGCGACAAGAATTGCCCCCAAGGTTAGAGCTCGGCCAGTGGCTTTGGCGCCTTTGTAGGGCGCCAGTGCTGACAGGCTGCTAACTGTGACAAGCTGTGGCCCCAAGGCACAGACAACAGCACCCTTCCCGCGTCAGTCAGCTATGGTGTCACTGCTGATTGGCTGGCCCTATTCTTTTCTAAATGGCTCAGACTGGCATCTGCTCTCACATGCATCCAATAAGGAGCGACGGAGCCTTAAGGAGGCGGGCATTGCTCTGCCGCTGCCATTTCTGATTGGTCCCGACGCTTACTTCGCTCTTGAATCATCACCCGGCAAAAGAAACTGGAGCCTGGCGGAACAGGTGCAGGTGCGATTTCTAGTACAGTCCTGGCCTCTGCCAAGTGTTGGCACCTCCTTCTTGGCGGCTAACAGAGGAGCTGAGGGTAGGAAGAATAGAGATTGACACGAAAGCTCTCCTGAGAAGGGCAGCGCACAAGCCAGGCACGAAGGTGCACGCCTATTAATCCCAGCATTCTGGAGAGTTGAGACGAGACAATCGCCAAGTTCGAACCCAGCCTGGGTATCTGAGCTACTTAATGAGACTGTCTCAAAAATTTAAAATACAGAAAAGGTTGAAAATGTAGCTCAATGTGAAGGTCCTGGGTTCAATCCCGGAGACAGAGCGTGGGATGAATCCCGGGTCCAAGAGGCAGCAAAACCCTCAAAAAAGAGGGGCAAAGACTGGCACCGGTAGTAATGGTAATGGCAGGCCCCGGTTATCTAGCCCTTTCCATGTAATGTGCTTTGTGTATCATTTCAACGAATCTTTCTAAATAACCCCTTGAAGGAGACGATTGCAGTGCCAGGTTAACCTCAGAGGGCCAGAAAGGCGAAGTCATTTGCCTCAGGTCACACAACAAATAAAATATGGGCATTGCTGGGACTTGAACCTTGGTCTGGTGAGCGTCTAGCCTTCAAGCTATGCTATGATCAGATAGGATTGTTTTGGTGGATGTGGAATAGTGTCTGATGTAGTCCTTGGTTTACCTCAAGGACAGATGAGAGTTTGAGTTTGGGTATTTTTGGTTGGTTTTTGGCCTTGGATCTAATCTTGAAGACTTGGCACATTTGAAAAAAAATTCTTTTATTGCTACATTTTAGGTATACAATATGTTTACATTTATCATTGGGTGCTTGTAGCTGTACATGATGTATCTTGGTTCTTATTTTTTTCCCCCATTACCTGTGCGCCCTTCACACCCTCCACCCTTCCCTATTTACATAGATTTCATTTCCATTTTTTTCTTTTCTCATAATTTTTCCTTTCCCCTTCCCCTCTCACCACCCCTACATCTTTGGACCTTTTAATATTTCAAATTATGAATTATTCATTTTAATCATTTTAATCCTTATTTACATTTTCAGTTTCTCACACTAGAGAAACTGTTCGGTATTTACACATGTGTGTCCTATTTATTTCACTTAAGAGTATGGCCTCAATATGCATCCCTTTAGCTATAAATATCTCTAGTTTCTCATTCTTTATGGCTGAGTAGTACTCCATTTTATAAAAAAAAACAAACAAAAAACCACATCTTCTTTATCCAGTTTCCAGTTGATGGGCACTTGGGCTGTTTCCAAGCTTTAGCTATTGCAAACTGTGCTGGTATAGACATGGGTGCACATATATTGCTGTGGTATGATTCTTTTAATTCTTTGGGGAAGATACCCAGTAGGGGAATAGCTGGGTCAAATGGGACCTCTAGCCCTAGTTTTTTTTTTCTAGCCCTAGTTCTTTGAGGTATCTCCATACTGATTTCCACAGTGGTTGCACCAGTCTGCACTACCACCAACAATGGAGAAGGGTTCCTTTCTCCCCACACCCCCGCCAGCATTTGTTATTGGTTGATTTCTTGATAGCAGCCATTCTTTGTGGGGTGAGGTAGAATCTCAGTGTTGTTTTCATCTGCATCTCTCAAATGACCAGTGATGTTGAATATTTTTCCATACATTTATTTGCTGTTTTTACTTCTTTGTCTGAGAAATGTCTGTTCATTTCAGATGCCCATTTTTGAATTGGGTCTTTGAATTTGGGGGTCTGATTTTTTTCAATTCTTTATATATTCTAGATAGTAGCCCTTTGTCTGAGGTACAGCTGCTAAAATTTCTTCCCATATTGTAGGTTGTCTCTTAGCTCTGTTGATAGTTACTCTTGCAGTGCAGAAGCTTTTTAATAAGATGAAGTCCCACTTGTTGATTCTTTGTGCTAGTTCCTGTGCTACTGAAGTTTTGTTCATAAAGTCTTTTCCTATGCCAATGTCTTCAAGAGTTCTACCTAACTTATCTTCTAGCAAGTTTACTGTTTCTGTCTTGATATTTAGCTCTTTAATCCACTTCGATCTTAGTTTAGTGCATGGTGATAGATATGGGTCTAGTTTTAATCTTTGGCAGATTGAAATCCAGTTTTTCCAACACCATTTATTGAACAGGCTATCTTTTCTCCAATGAGGGCGTTTGGCTCCTTTGTCAAAGATGAGGTGGCCGAGTATGTCTGGAGTTGTTTCTGCATCTTCTAATCTATTCCACTGATCCGTGGGCCTGTTTCTTTGCCAGTAGCATGCTGTTTTTATCACAGTAGCTTTGTAGTATAGTTTCAAGTTGAGGATTGTGATACCCCCAGCCATGTCTTTGTTGCCCAGAATTGCTTTTGCTATTGTGGGTTTCTTCTGCTTTCAAATGAATTTTTGGATTGTTTTCTCTAGTTCTGTGAAGTATATTGTTGGAATTTCAATCAATATTGCATTAAATCTATATAGTAGTTTTGGAAGTATGGCCATTTTCACTATATTCATTCAATAGTTTTTAAACTTAAGGCATCCTGCCCTAATCTATAACAGAGGTACAGTACTCAAGGCAGCCAACAACAAAGGATTAGAAAGAATAATTATCTCCTTTTACAAATCCAAGACTGGTGGCCAGAAGGAATAACTGGTCTACTTCAAGCTCTGTGAGTCAACACTATGAAACTCATTAGCATTAGGACAAAGAATCTACATTATTCCAGCTTTATGGAATCATATGCCTGGTGTGTGAGTGCGTGTGTGTGTGTGCGTGTGTGTGTGTGTGCTATGTATGTGTGTGTACAGACATGCATGTGGTTCTCACAGGGACTGAGGAGTAATGCTGCCCCTGCACTTCCTACCCAGGAACAAGGGATGTCTTTCCATTTTCTTATATCCTCCTCGATCTCCTTTTTCAGAGTGCTGTAGTTTTCAGTGTAGAGGTCTTTTGCTTCCTTTGTGAGGTTGATTTCTAGATATTTCATTTTTTTGGATGCTATTGTAAAAGGAATTGTTTCGCAAATTTCTCTCTCAGGGAGTCTGCTATTTGTGTATCAGAAGGCTATTGCTTTTTGAGTGTTGAGCTTACATCCAGCTACTCTACTGAATCTGTCAATTAGGTCCAGAAGTCTTTTGGCCGAGATTTTTTGGTCTTCTATGTAAAGTATCATATCGTCAGCAAACTTGGCACATATTTTTAAGTCCTCAAACTTCTGGCAAAATAATTGGTATTGTAGAAAAGGGTATTCTAAAAATTAGGACTGGAGTGTAGCTCAGTGATAGATAACTCACCTGACTTCTAAGAGGCCCTGGGTTTGATTTGGGGAGTTAAATGTCTTTGAGGAGTAGGGAAATAACAGTTACTTATTGAACACCTACACCATGCTGGACCCTCTGCTAACAAGCTTTAATGGATCTCAAGAAGCAGAGAGCCTATGGTTAAGTACTTGGGTGCTGGATCCAAAACTGCCTGGATTCGTGTCTTGGCCCTGCTATTTATTAGTTGTGAAACCTTAGGCAATTTCCTTAACCCCTCCAGGCTCCAACTGTTTCATCTTTAAAATGGGAACAATAGCAGTACATACCTCTTAGGGCTGTTGAGAGGATTAAATGAGAGAATAGAACAGCAGCATCTCTTCTTTTCCCCAGTGTCCTGAAGCCGAGTTGTTTCCTTGCAGTCAACATCATCTGCCTTGACTCTGATATAGACTTGGAAAATTAAGACTGGATATTTGTCATGGGAAAATCTGGAGGAAATATGTTCCCAGGAGAAGTGGCAAGTGCAAAGGCCCTAAAATGAGAGTGAATTTTGTGTATTAATACAGCAAGAAGTTTGTCTGGAGCCAGGGAGTTGGCTAAATTTCAGGAGCTCAAGTCAGCTGCACAGATGTTCATAACAGATTTAGAAACAACAATGTATTTTTCAAAGCATAAAGGACTTTCCTCAGGCTTTGATTTCTGAGGAACTCGAGGCCATGATTATCTCTGAGGTTTAGTGTCCAAGGTTGCACAGGTATTTAAACTTAGAATTCAGGTGTTCTAACTCCATGAGGCTGGTGTGTAGTCATCAAATGATTTGCATTCACCAAGTGTGATGGTGCAGACCT